CCAATTATATATTAAGAGACGTTTTTGTAAAGCAATTCATTTATTCCTACATCAAACAATTTACCCCATCGCTACTCGATGCTGGCATTGTGAATAATTAAACCAATTGAAACTCTACAGTGTACGATTAAATGTTAATGAATGCCACAGCAAACCTGCTGGAAATCGACAATATTTATTCCATTTTTACTGAGATACCATCAGGAATAATCCGCGAAAGGATTGTAAATGCCAATCAGCAGATGCTGCAGCGGGCATAACATTTCCCCTTTCTTTGGTTCGGGTCGTAAGCCGTCCCTTCATTAGCAAAATGAAACAGTCCGACTCGAACCGATCGAAACGGGTTTTTTACACTGAAAGCTCTCATTGGAATTCCCTAAGGACCAATATCGCATCGCCGTGGAGTGGATAAAAGACTGCCGCACAGTCGATTCCTCCAAATAGAAACGCACGAGACGAACACATATTTGCATTGTATGTATTGTTGAGTTACAGATAAATCCATTTATCAAGCTGAGGGACAGATCACGACTGTTCCGCTACTGGGTTTGGTTCGAGATGCTGTGTACTTATCGCAGAGATCGATCACGTTTTCCCGTCACAGTTTCCAGTCGTTCCGCCCGAAGGTGATTATAACATAAGCACACAACTAACTGAAGTGTATTTACGATTTCATTCTATTAGCATTTTTTCACGCTTCCGACTTTGGAGATAAGATCGCTACAAAGTAAAATTAATGAATCAAAGGCTCTCCTTCCAAGTCGTGTGGGTTCTGGACAACAATAAATGTACAATCAGATGTAAATAAATATCGGTAGCTTCGTCGCCTCATGCCCTGAACCTACTAAAATCGTAACGCAGGTAGACGTGGTCTTAAGTCGGAGATGTTTTCCATTTTATTTGCCGACCAAATGTATTTGGCGGCGTCTGATTCTGCAAAGTCACCTGGCGCCGGCTGGCTTGAAAACAAAAGCACCGTCTGGTCTGAGTCAAGAACCCAAACCCGTTCTGGTTTCTGGAGACGAAGCCTCTCAACACCGAATTACATTGGGACCTGGGGCCTCCCCAGGCCTCCTTCCCTCCCCGCCACGGAGACTAAGCAGCAAAAGCAATGTGCAACCACAGAGCGACTCTCAACGAGGAAATACACGGTGTGACGATTGATTTGGCTTCTTGATAGAATGGATAATTGAATGTTTATATATGTATACACTCCCCTTCCTAATCATGCTCAGCGGCTAATGCTAATTTTTGGTATGGTCTGGGCCTGCGATTCTCAATTCTGTGTCGGCCAGTCTGTGACGTCAGGTCAAGTCAGCCAATCATCGATTTGGCGAGTGTCTTGACCCCCGACAACTTGTTTAGCATACAGAAAAAGTATCTAATTCTCGACTCCACAATACTACGAGTGTCTCACGAGGAAGAGAATACACAAAAACAATATGCACTGGTGAATTATGGCAGATTTTTGGCAGATAATAAATCATCGTAGCATTCTGAGTGGTTTCAAAATCCCCCATTTCATGGAGTCATCAAATAGCCTTAGTCGGCGGTACAGAAAATAGTCTGGAGTCGGATCACAAAGAGGAATGGACTGGTAAAATGTTGAATTCTAATTAAGATGGATAATTTGCATAAAATGTCAATACTTTTCAAGGTTTTGTTTTGAAATACATATTATGATAAACATTCAAATTCGGAGGGTTACTGATTGGCAGCAGATATTTAATAATTCTAAAGAAAACGATTTGCATTTCTCGTATTCCAACTATATGGAATTTCAGTCAGCCGTTTTTGATATCATTAAAAACATAAAACATGTACATATATATATCCTTACATATCCGTACATACACATACATATCTTCCATCTTCCCGTCAAAAGTATTTGAATTTGAACTAATCGATCGGGTTTGGGCATAGCTGACTGAATGAACCGGTTTAATTAAAAATATTCTGTTTCTCAGACTAATATGGTTACACGTGTACATATGTACATGACTTGTATTCAGATGCACATGCATCGCACTTCAGCGCCGACAATTACGAGGTACGCATTCCAATCCCTCCCGACAGTAGGCGCGTCAGGTACCATCCGTCCAGTAAGGCAGATGTGCCGATAAATGCATCCACAAAGAGACAAGGGGCACAATGACCAGATCTGGGTCTGCATGTGCAACACCTCCCACCCCCCAACAGAGGTGCGTTTGAGTGTCTTTAGAGCGTCATGGGTCAGTGACGAAAAATCAATGGGCGAACATCCTCGCGGAGAAGCACTTTCGTGTACACGTGTGCAATAATTACTCCCATAAAGATAAAGGGCGCCGTTTAAAATTGTAATGCAGCCATGTCGACAAAGAGGAATGAATTCACTTTGCATTTAATTGCAGGTAATTTTCAATTAACCAGACGTCATAAAATGATACTCGTACTATCTCGTTGATGCGACGTTCAATCTGAAGCTTTGACAGTAAATGTCGATCAATCACGAGCCGAGATCGGCTCTAATTTCCCACACGACCTAAGTACATATCTGATTCGGCTCGACTTTTGAATAATAATAATATTACTATGATGTTGCTTAACTTTCGAGCGAATGCAGATTCTTGGGTCCTATCAATTATTTGGAATTTCCTTTTGCGGTAATCGGTAAGTACACATGTATGTTCCCCGAATTCATGACGAGATATGGCAATATATATATGTTTAGTCTTCAATGTATATTTAGATAAGAGAATGACGAAGTTGCAGCAAGTACTTCTTGTTGCAATGTCTACTCCCTTGCAATGCCATGATAAATTCCCAGGCAAGCTCCACCTTAACTTCCTCCAAAACAAAACAAAAACACAAAAAAAAACCTGCAAAACTTTCCCCGTAAAAATACGCAAATTGATTTGGTTGTCGGGCATTGTATATTGCTTTGATAAAATTGATTTTTTTCTCAGGTTCACTTCTTACATTCAATTTATTTCTGCGCCTTTGTTTCTTTCGCTGCGACGAGTTAGCTTGAGCTTGAGGCAGGGCAGCCGGAGGATAAGCGACGCGACTTCGATGGGTAGACGGAAACGCGACCTCACTGGGCGGCGGATTGGGGACTACTGGCAGTTCAAATTAAAAGTACCAGCGACAGACTCACTTCGCAGCGGTTTGGCATTTTGTATACATACATATGTACACATTCAAGTGATTCGTTGGTGTGCTTCTGGGGGAAGATCAGGGACTGGAGTAGCTCCAACGCATAGACTGGGGGGCTTGTCGCGCACTCACAGCCAGGCGGATCTGAACGGATAGAGAACGCACAAAAGGTACGAGTGCATACGCGTATACGTAATATAGGGGCATATATTGAAAATATTTTGCATATGTATACATTGTATTTATTCAAACTTCAAACTCTAATCTCTAAACTTTAATTGTGTGATTATTTAAAATTGATCATCTCGCCGCTAGTGCAACTATAGTAGTTTTGCGAACATATAATGTATTAATAATTAATTCATGATGTAGAAACAAGGTACCGTTTTACCTTTCCAATATACATTCTCCTGAGAACAGAGCCTTACCTTGCTTTTCTGAATAGATTGAACCATATATTGCCTTACACCAGACTTCAAAAACAATCTACACTGCAAGACAAAGATAGCAAGTACTAATAGACGAAGAGCTGTGGATGTTTACCAACACGCAGAGCTTTCTTAGACCAGCCAACTTGTACTTCCAAGGTAAGGTTGTACCGTTTATTACCCGCTCCGCTGCTACCAGATCGAATAAAAAGCCAAATTATAGCAGCTTTCCCAATAAGTTTCTTATATCTGGTCTCAATTCCTCAACTTGAAGAAGATGATGAATATGACGATAAAAGCTTAATGGTGCTTGAACGTGTAGATGCCTCCCAATTCCGCCAGTGTTGGCAAACGAGCAAACTCAGCATTTTTTAATACTGATGTTTAAATTTGAATAATGCCGGTTACCTTTGAGGGCGCCGACATAAATTTATTTGATTTACTGGAAAGATTTGAAATCCATGTCATTGGTTGCATCCGAGACGAAGTAAGGCATTCAATTTATCATCTGGAACCCCGATTTCGATTGAGTTTTCTTCAAGTTGAGAGCGTCAAATAACTTTATTGGCTATTCGCTTTAGCGAATAAGTTTCTTGTCACGCCACCAGGTGAGGACAGCCGTTCATAGTACCAAGTTCATTGTATGTGTATGTGTATGTGTATGTGTATGCATGTATGTACAAAATAATTACTAAAATACAATTCTCTTTCAGTGTGGGACGTCTGCGCTTGGAGGGATCGCGGGCACAGCTGATTTCTTGACTAGGGAGAGGAGTAGCTAGGAGCTTTGATTTGTGGAAGGAACTGCAACTGCACCTTCAACTACCTTCAACCGACACTGAGTGCCACTACGATATCTGACAGCACTGCGCCTTTCTAGCCATGCTCTGGCCCTCCCAATGTGTCTGCAAATATATAGATGAAAGATGGTGAGTGGTGCTGACGGTCTACGGGGTTAGCAAATGAAATACGTATGCATTTATAGGACTCTGAGTATATTTGTTTTTGCCCAGCCAGGTTCTTAGGCTAACAATCGGATTGCTTATTGCCATAGGTACGAGTACGAGTACGAGTTTAACAAGTGAGCGGTACGAATTATAAACTGTAGCCAGTTGGCCGCGACTCTACAGATGATTTGTCTGTTGCTGTGTAAAAAAAAAAAACAAAACAAGAAACGAAGAATCAAATGAAAAATGGTTAAATAACAAGTTTTGTGTTAGCTTCAATGAACAAATACTTTTAGTGGGTTGGTTCGGCAACGTTTCTGAAATCGAGCCCGAAACCCGACTTCCAGCACAGCAAGAGTAGCCTGGAAGGGGCCATCGCCATCCTTTGCCAAGACACGCAGGTGCTGGTAGTCGAGTCTGCCCGGGAACGTGAGATACAGTGATCCTCAGGAATTCAAGGAATTTTTAAACCAATTATGCGGCGCTCACGTCAACTTTGTTCCTTTTGGTGGATTATATAGCTTTATTAGTTTCAATTCAAATACGCATATGTCCCAAATAATTAAACCGAAATAATTTAGCCGCCAAAGAATATCAAAGAAATTGTTCTCTCATTTCCTCAACGCTCAGCAGCCCATCCAGAGGCGCCGGCAGCTGCAGGTTCTGGTTCTGCCACGCTAATTGCTTGTTCGACACAATGTATTTTGGCATTTCGTTTCTCTTTAAGTATAGCTACGCGTGTACTTGTAGTGTGTATTGATTGATTGATTGCTTTCGAATTGATTTAGGTGCTAATTTCCATAACCGGGCTACGCTACAACCGTGTGAACTCTAAATATGTTGTATAGTTCTCTGTGGGACTCTCTTACTGCGGTCGGTGTTCACTAAGTTTTAAATTATGTTCAGCTGCTTCGTGTAATTTCTTTTTCTGGATTTTGTTCCTGCTACGCAAGTGGAATGCAACGGGCGGGTTCAGGGGTCGTACGGTCTAAGTGCATTGGAAATTAGTTTACCCATTTACTGATTATGTCCTGCAACGGAGAAGAGCATAATGAGCGTAATGAAGTTCTTTAGCGTTGATATTGCCAAGCAAGTCTCAAGCGGACACGTGCAGCGCCCCACTCACCTTCACGTCGTCCATCTCGTCATCGGACGACGAGTGCGAGAGTCCACTGTAGGTCTTGAAGGTCACGTTCTTCATGAACGACTTGAGTAGACTGGCGCTTAGCTGGCCAAACTTGTAGGGAACCACCGGGTCGTAGTCACCGTGCGCTTGGAAAATCTGCAATGTTGGTGGCGTCTAGTTAAGCAGCTACTTGCGCGGCGTCGACTCCACTTACCGGCACATCCTCACTGTTCAGCTTGGCTCCAGGGAATTTCTTGTGCAGCGGCAACCAGCACGAGAGTGCCACAACGCCGGCTAGCGGCTGGTCATAGGTCAGCGCCGAATAGAGAGCTAGGGCTCCGCCCTGCGAAAAGCCTCCCAAGACGATGCGATTGGCCGGAATGCCAGCGCTGATCTCCTTCTGAATCATGCCGTGAACATTGTCGCGAGCTGCCTGTATGCCGGGCTCATCCTCGGGCCCGGAAATGTCCAGCGTCTTCAGGTCAAACCAGGAGGGCATGCGGAAGCCAGCATTTAGCGATACTGGCTGTGTTGGGGCTGTCGGACAGATCACCTTCATGAAAGGAGGTCTGATGGCGGCCAATGCACTGCTCCAGCCGTGCCTAAAAAGAACCAACGTTGATTAATTCGAACGCCCAACTATTGCTTCGGGCGCAAACTTACCCAGTATCCCCCAGGCCGTGCATGAAAATCAACTGCAATGCGGAGCATTTGTTATTAAAATGAGCACTGTATGCATGTGTGTTTGCGTAAAAGAGTACTTGCCGTGGCAGTTTGCTTGGCCGTGGCCTCGACAATGACCGGTGCAGACATGTCTAGTGTTTAGCCTCTTGTGTTTACTATGGTGTTCTCTTCTACACGCCAGGTACGACGGTGCGATTTTGCGTTGTGTTGCCTCTTGTGCTGCTTCGTCGCCGTGCTGACCCTACAGTTCTGCTCGCCGTTTTTCTGCAATGGGCAACGAACCGTTCTTTTTAGCTACGTGTTTAGAATTTTCTGTCGTTTCCGGGTGCTGGAAGCACGTAAATTTGTTATGTCATGTGGAAGGCAAAGCAAAATTAGTAATATTGATTTTACGATATCAATGACAACTCGCCGCCGGCTATGTCAGTGTTCCGGTTAGCACGTCAATAGTTTTCAAACAACCAGACACACACTACTGTGATACGAATGTGACACTTCACCTACCAGGTATTACTTTATCTATTATTTTTAGTTTTTTATTTTTTATAGCCAGCCACCGCTACACGTTTGCTACACATTTCTACACATTTGCTACATAAAGGGAGGAAAAAGAGGGTATGGACAACAGGCAGAACGGCCCAGAAATTTCAACGCGTGTAAGGTTGTCCATACCCCTTTCTATAGCCCATTCAAAATTACGACTCATGTTTTCGTTGCATTATGAGCTTCTGACCCTCAGAAATACCGAAAATACGTCACTAATTTCAAAATATACCGTAAATATTCTTTAGTATATTTATATGTATTGAAATATTCCTATATTCCTCGTTTTTTATATTCGGTTGAATATTACTAGCTAGCTAGGACCGTCAGCTTTGAAATCAAAATTTTATCATAAGAGACGGTCCAATTTTAAGTTCTCATGTTAAGTCCATAACTCGTCTCAAGAAATACTGAAAAATCTTAGAAAATGTCTAAACATTTCCAAGGTGTGTGAGCTAGACATGGCGGCAAGAAAATTAGTATGTTCGCTAACGTAAACGGTCTGACCCTCAGAAATATACCGATTTCAAAGATACGCAAAGAGCTGCAGGTATACACTATACTCTCGTTGGCAATAAACTTAACTTCAATACACTGTACTATGAATACTTGTTTGGCTTGTCAGCTCACATTAATCGTTTTTCTGATGTTGCGTTGCCACCAGTTCGATACCAATTCCATACCAGGAAAGCCATGCCTTTCCAATAAGCTTTTTATTTCTGTCCCAGTCCTCATTTGAAGTGAAGTAGGGACACTATTGATGTTTGTTCCCGCGTATCGAATTCTTTGAAATCTGAGTTTGAGCCGTGACCCCATGCCGTTTATTGAATTTAGCTTCCTTAATTAAAATTTATCGTACTCAAGTGGAAAGAGTCGAAATTCAAGTTTGAGCAGCTGGTGTTTTCTATATTATAAAAAGCTTCTTTCCGCTCAATCAAACAATCGCTTAAGAATAATTACTAGTTAGAGTCGATCCATTAATATGGATATCCATATTAACTTAATAATGTTGAAATTCCATCAAATGCATTACACTGATATCAATGGAGGAAAGGGGTTCTGCTTGGATACAACCAGCTTGTTGTGGGCATATGAGATGTAGCCCTTGATCTTACCCTCGTAGATGAGATTGGCAATGATACAGTGCGTCTCGTCGAGGGACACGTCCGTAACGCCAACGAACTGCAGCGCCGTCATAAAGTCGCCCAAGTCCAGCTGGTGAGTCTGGCGGATGGCAAACACTTTCTTGAATAGATTACGATAGACGATGAACTTGAGCTTCTCGACCAGCAAATAGATGCCGCTTCGGATCAGCACCTTCTCGTTTTCGCGTACAATCTCATCGAACTTGTTGACATTTCCGGCTTTCAGGGTCTGGGCCAGGTCGTGGAAGAGCAGCAGATCGTGGCGCTGGAGTAGCACCTTGCTGGGCAGGTACCCAAGCAGCATTTTCACAGGTACCAAGTAGATTAGTATCAAACGCTTGTTGCTGCCGAAGCGGTCCGGGCAGTGGGTGAAGGCATACGACAAGTCCTCGACGGCCATGCGGTAGTTGGAGTCGAACATGGCTCGGCGCCCGACGAAGTATTTGTAGGTTATCTGCTCGGGCAGTGGAAAGGTGTCCTTGAAGGCACAGTTGTCGATGGCTCGGATGAGGGGCTTACACAGATGGAGCTTATTGATGCGGAAATATATTTTGAATAGCTGGTTCACCAAGTTCATCATCCCCAGGCGTTTGGTCTCCTCCTCGGAGGCGCGTCCGTCGGCGGCACACACTCGGAAGCAGGCCATCATACAGTCTGCTGCCTTCTCCAGTATTTGGCCGGGTGTGAAACTGCGCCCATGCTTCTCGCATGCCTGGGCAAGGTAGCGCAGGTCCAAGCACACGCGGTACATTACCGGGAGGCACCAGTTCTCGTCCTTCATCATCTGCAGCAGCTTCACCACCGCCGAGCAACAGGCCGCCTGTTGAGTGTAGGCCTCCATGTAGTTGGTCGGGTTCTGCGCCAGATAATAGATCACCTTCAGATGGGCGCCTACCACCTCGTCCAGTGGCGCATCCAAGTAGCGCTCCACCATCTTCTCCGGCTGGGCAACATGCAGCTTGTCGTTCTGTACGTGAACGTCGCGCAGTGAAAGAAAGTCGCTCAGAGCTTGACCACTGCAGGCTTCGGCACAGCGCTCAACATTGCTAAGGTAATTTGCAAGCGACCCAAACATATTTTTTTATTTTGTTTTTATTTTTCGCCGGCAAGAGGATCACTGCAGTGTGACCGCGGATTTATCGTTAAAATATACCGTCCGACTCTCGGAAATATTCTGCCATATACCGTCGCATTTGAAAAATATACCGTAAAGATACTGATTAATTCAAGTTATATTTTACATATGCCATCATAAATTTATACGATTGATGAATCAATTTTCTATTTAACTGGTGTATTCTTACGACTTGCTTTTATTGGATTTCTATATACCGTTGAAAATGAAATTTAATAGATTAATGAAATTGACAAAATATACCATTATATACTGATCTACCGTAAATATACCGATAAAAAAACGACCACTGAAACCCGCTTTATTTAAACAGCGCGAGGTAAACAACTAATCATACAGTATAATGTATATGTGCCAGTTCATACACAGAACATGTCGCAAACGGGATTGTATCCCAGGGTCATCGGCTCTGGGTCTCTAAGCGGCCAAAGGCTTAGCCTTCACTTTTCCGTATCCTGCGCCGCTCTGGTGATTTTCCCACTTTAAATCAGATGGCGCGTGAGCCCTCTTTTTGAACCGGGCCGCCGCAGGCCCCGCCGCACCCAGTTGGGTGTTGTCGGATCAATACTGCATCCATGATCGCGTGCATCGCGCCAGCAGCTGGTACATTATTAATTTATCTGCAGTTTTGTACGACGTACGACGTACATGCTTCGCAGGTGCCTACATTACCGACATCGTCTTCCCTCCTGCACCATGCTTTACCTTATCGGCTTTGACCGGGTAAGCTTTCTTTGTTTCTCCCCCTAATCACCTCTACCATTGATTATTTTTTCTTGGTTCTTCTTATATTTTTGTATTTCCTCCAGCTCAATTGGCCGAGACCCTCTCTGGCCACAAACTGCTATGCCGCGATCCCCTCCCGTTACACTGCCAGGTAGAGTATTATTATGCAATCATTTGCTTTATTTAGCTCTTCTCTTCATTTTAGCAGGTTGCCCCCTTCAGTGGCCAGTAATACCTCTTGCGAGCCCGTGGATACCGATATGCCCATCATGACCGGCCGACATCGCGAACTCCCCGCCGGCTCCTGCGCAAGGGACAACGATGCCGTGCGCCCCTCGGCGCATGATTCCTGTCGCGGGAGGCTGTGGCCTTAGCGTCTTACTACTGCCATGGCCCATTCTGATTTTTCCGCCTTTACAGACCGCTCACCACCGGTAACTCCTCCGCGCGTGATTCCGCCGTAGCTCCTCGTCCTTTTGGGAGTTCCAAGGAATGTGCTCCTGGCTGGACTGTGGCAGCCACTGGCTGTCCTGCTGCGGCCATAGCCGTAATTTCGCTGCTTTGTCACTGAGTCGACAATGTGGCGGGTAAGCTTTCCTGCAGCCCCTCATTCATACCCCACCGAATCAAACGCTGGGCTTTAGCTTCGAGACGCGTAAGTGAATCAGTTTATAATTGTGGATATATTTTAAAATAAATCTTCCTTCACAGATGACCGCAAACCCGAGTCGTGGGATACCAATAATAATTATTCAATAAAAATAAGGATTAACAATTATAATAATAGTTATACGATAAAAATCAAGAATAACAATTATAATAATAGTTATTCAATAAAAATAAAGAATAACAATTATAATAATAGTTATTCAATAAAAATCAAGAATAACAATTATAATAATAGTTATACGATAAAAGTCAAGAATAACAATTATAATAATAGTTATTCAATAAAAATCAAGAATAACAATTATAATAATAGTTATTCAATAAAAATCAAGAATAACAATTATAATAATAGTTATTCGATAAAAATCAAGAATAACAATTATAATAATAGTTATTCAATAAAAATCAAGAATAACAATTATAATAATAGTTATTCAATAAAAATCAAGAATAACAATTATAATAATAGTTATACGATAAAAATCAAGAATAACAATTATAATAATAGTTATACCATAAAAATCAAGAATAACAATTATAATAATAGTTATTCAATAAAAATCAAGAATAACAATTATAATAATAGTTATACGATAAAAATCAAGAATAACAATTATAATAATAGTTATTCAATAAAAATCAAGAATAACAATTATAATAATAGTTATTCAATAAAAATCAAGAATAACAATTATAATAATAGTTATTCAATAAAAATCAAGAATAACAATTATAATAATAGTTATTCAATAAAAATTGTTATTATAATTGTTATTCTTGATTTTTATCGTATAACTATTATTATAATTGTTATTCTTGATTTTTATCGTATAACTATTATTATAATTGTTATTCTTTATTTTTATTGAATAACTATTATTATAATTGTTATTCTTGATTTTTATTGAATAACTATTATTATAATTGTTATTCTTGATTTTTATTGAATAACTATTATTATAATTGTTATTCTTGATTTTTATCGAATAACTATTATTATAATTGTTATTCTTGATTTTTATCGTATAACTATTATTATAATTGTTATTCTTGATTTTTATCGTATAACTATTATTATAATTGTTATTCTTGATTTTCATCGTATAACTATTATTATAATTGTTATTCTTGATTTTTATCGTATAACTATTATTATAATTGTTATTCTTGATTTTTATCGTATAACTATTATTATAATTGTTATTCTTGATTTTTATCGTATAACTATTATTATAATTGTTATTCTTGATTTTTATCGTATAACTATTATTATAATTGTTATTCTTGATTTTTATCGTATAACTATTATTATAATTGTTATTCTTTATTTTTATTGAATAACTATTATTATAATTGTTATTCTTGATTTTTATTGAATAACTATTATTATAATTGTTATTCTTGATTTTTATTGAATAACTATTATTATAATTGTTATTCTTGATTTTTATCGTATAACTATTATTATAATTGTTATTCTTGATTTTTATCGTATAACTATTATTATAATTGTTATTCTTGATTTTTATCGTATAACTATTATTATAATTGTTATTCTTGATTTTCATCGTATAACTATTATTATAATTGTTATTCTTGATTTTTATTGAATAACTATTATTATAATTGTTATTCTTGATTTTTATCGAATAACTATTATTATAATTGTTATTCTTGATTTTTATCGAATAACTATTATTATAAGTGTTATTCTTGATTTTTATTGAATAACTATTATTATAATTGTTATTCTTGATTTTTATTGAATAACTATTATTATAATTGTTATTCTTGATTTTTATTGAATAACTATTATTATAATTGTTATTCTTGATTTTTATTGAATAACTATTATTATAATTGTTATTCTTGATTTTTATCGTATAACTATTATTATAATTGTTATTCTTGATTTTTATTGAATAACTATTATTATAATTGTTATTCTTGATTTTTATGGTATAACTATTATTATAATTGTTATTCTTGATTTTTATCGTATAACTATTATTATAATTGTTATTCTTGATTTTTATCGTATAACTATTATTATAATTGTTATTCTTGATTTTTATTGAATAACTATTATTATAATTGTTATTCTTGACTTTTATCGTATAACTATTATTATAATTGTTATTCTTGATTTTTATTGAATAACTATTATTATAATTGTTATTCTTTATTTTTATTGAATAACTATTATTATAATTGTTATTCTTGATTTTTATCGTATAACTATTATTATAATTGTTAATCCTTATTTTTATTGAATAATTATTATTGGTATCCCACGACTCGGGTTTGCGGTCATCTGTGAAGGAAGATTTATTTTAAAATATATCCACAATTATAAACTGATTCACTTACGCGTCTCGAAGCTAAAGCCCAGCGTTTGATTCGGTGGGGTATGAATGAGGGGCTGCAGGAAAGCTTACCCGCCACATTGTCGACTCAGTGACAAAGCAGCGAAATTACGGCTATGGCCGCAGCAGGACAGCCAGTGGCTGCCACAGTCCAGCCAGGAGCACATTCCTTGGAAATCCCAAAAGGACGAGGAGCTACGGCGGAATCACGCGCGGAGGAGTTACCGGTGGTGAGCGGTCTGTAAAGGCGGAAAAATCAGAATGGGCCATGGCAGTAGCAAGACGCTAAGGCCACAGCCTCCCGCGACAGGAATCATGCGCCGAGGGGCGCACGGCATCGTTGTCCCTTGCGCAGGAGCCGGCGGGGAGTTCGCGATGTCGGCCGGTCATGATGGGCATATCGGTATCCACGGGCTCGCAAGAGGTATTACTGGCCACTGAAGGGGGCAACCTGCTAAAATGAAGAGAAGAGCTAAATAAAGCAAATGATTGCATAATAATACTCTACCTGGCAGTGTAACGGGAGGGGATCGCGGCATAGCAGTTTGTGGCCAGAGAGGGTCTCGGCCAATTGAGCTGGAGGAAATACAAAAATATAAGAAGAACCAAGAAAAAATAATCAATGGTAGAGGTGATTAGGGGGAGAAACAAAGAAAGCTTACCCGGTCAAAGCCGATAAGGTAAAGCATGGTGCAGGAGGGAAGACGATGTCGGTAATGTAGGCACCTGCGAAGCATGTACGTCGTACGTCGTACAAAACTGCAGATAAATTAATAATGTACCAGCTGCTGGCGCGATGCACGCGATCATGGATGCAGTATTGATCCGACAACACCCAACTGGGTGCGGCGGGGCCTGCGGCGGCCCGGTTCAAAAAGAGGGCTCACGCGCCATCTGATTTAAAGTGGGAAAATCACCAGAGCGGCGCAGGATACGGAAAAGTGAAGGCTAAAGCCTTGGTCATCTTAGAGAGCCGATGACCCTGGGATACAATCCAGAAAGTTTGTACACAAGTTTGCGACATGTTCGGTTTATGAACTGGCTCATCTATATGGTGTATAATTTGTGATTGATCGTAACGGTTGGAAGATAAATCGTATAAACGCGTTAGGGAATTTTCCGAAGACTATCAAAAAAAGAGCGGGAACACACGTAGCGGCTATGTTGAAAATTCAAAATTAATTTAAAAAAGTGGTGAAATTCATATAATTTATCTCACTTGGAAGCTCCGTCACGTCGCCCTTCCCGAGACCACTAAAACCATGACCATGGGCTGTAAGTCTCTTTTAGTTGCCAACAAAAATTCTAAATTTAAACTAAATACATACATATATGTACATATATACATATACCCGCAAAAGTTGTCAGAACAGATTTCATTTGTTGCCAAATTTACAAGCCTGTATGTTTGATTCTTTCGATAAATGATAAATTAAAACTCAAAATCCTTTTCATCATCGGCAAAACGCTTTAATTCCATATCCGACACGAAAGGAGAGATTCACAGAGACCGGCAATGTCGACGCCAAGTTTCCTTTTGAGCAGCGGCAGAAATATGCCAATGGTCGGCCTGGGCACCTGGCGCGTGAGTATTTGCGAATGGTTCTATTGATTATTTATCATCCATTTTAAAATCCTCATACAAGAATGCAAGCAAATGTGTTTTTGTTTGCAAGTTGGTTTTATGGTCAATGCCACTGCCAAAATGAAAGCACTCGTAGAGCTTTCAAAGCTGCTGCTACATTTAAGCATTCAAGTTCCACCCGCGTTGTGTTCTCCTTTCAGAGCCCGCCAGAAGTCGTTGCACAGGCCGTAAAGGATGCCATTGACATAGGCTACCGCCACTTTGACTGCGCCCACATCTACGGGAATGAGCTACATGTTGGAGTTGCTATTAGAGAGAAGATTCAGGAAGGCCTCGTGACGCGGTGAGAGGCGTGCTTCAAGTTCTGTTCATTCCCACTGCTAAACCATACGGTTTGCAAAACCATTCCGCAGAGACGAGCTCTTCATCACTAGCAAGTTATGGAACACATTCCACAAGCCGGAGTTGGTGCGGGCGGCCTGCGAGACGAGCCTGCGTAATCTGGGCCTCGACTATCTGGATCTTTACCTCATGCACTGGCCCATGGCCTACAAGTCGGGTGACAATCTCTATCCCACGTGTCCCGACACCGGCAAGGCAGTCTTCGAAGACATCGACTACCTAGACACTTGGAAGGCCATGGAGGACCTTGTGGACAGCGGCCTCGTCAATGCCATCGGAGTATCCAACTTCAACGAGAAGCAGATCAATCGTCTGCTGTGCCTGGCCAAGCTGAAGCCCGTGATGCTCCAGATCGAGTGTCATCCGTACCTCCGCCAGAAATCATTGATAACGCTCTGCTACGATAATGCCATTGGTGTGACTGCCTACAGTTCCCTGGGATCGGGACACACCCCGTACGAGAAGCCTGGCAGCTATCCGTTGCTGCAGAACCCGATCATCGTGAGCGTTGCGGAAAAGTATGGACGGACCCCAGCCCAGGTGCTGCTGCGCTATCAAACGCAGTCGGGCATTATCGTGATACCGCGATCTGTCAGTAAGCAGCACATGCACGACAACTTCAAGAGGATCTGGGACTTTCAGCTGGCCATCGACGACGTCAAAGCTATCGATGGTCTGGATTGCAATGGTCGCTTCATGACCATGAAGGCGTAAGTCTGTCATGGTTTCACAAATCTTATGTATCACAATATAACGGAATCTCCCTCCAGCGCTTATGGCCACCCTCATCACCCTTTTGAGCCAGGTCAAAATTCTCAGGAACAGAACGTTTCTCTATGAGCAACGTCAACATAGAAGAAGGACAAAGAGATTGCGTTCTTCTAAGGAAGCGAGGACAACGAATACAGAAGTCGATCCTCTCATCAGCTAATCAGGAAATATTTTAATTAGAAAAAGTTATTACTTCACATTTGGCATATTCCCCTGGACTCACAGGAGTTCCTGTTAAAAAACATCTGTCACACTTTTTAAAATGTATAACAGATCATGTTAATATGTACCATATACAGCCTATCATGCAGCTCGGAACCATTAAAAGTTATTTATTGCAAAAACTCTTCCCTGTTTATATGCTGATTCTGGCTCGTGGACAACTTCATGAGGAAATACATGATTCCCAGAATAAGTTGACTTATGAAGCTAATGCTATTTCCGTTCAGAACGTTCAGGAATAATTAACTTTAACATAAAAGTACATTCAAACATTATTATTGATATCAAGTATGGCGCGTTTTCCACACATTTCGATAGAAAATACCAGGAATACCGATTTTTTGATAATATATTTGTAGAGTGACAAAGGTTCGATATTTTTGTGCGATAAGCAAAGCTTTTTATTTTATTTCGTTTTATTTTATAAATGTTTTTAAATTATTGGCAAAGACAACAGATTGGGTTTTTATATCTTTAGCAATTAGGGTCATATGGGCGAAGGACCTAAACTTTGAAGATCGTGCGTCTGGATGACGTTTGATTCGTAGGTCTCTCCCGATGACGAAAACAAACATTAAATGGAAAATAAGACGTTCCTTAGAAACAAAGTAACCATTGAACTTTCTATTTTGAACGTGTACTCAATCGAATTCCTACTCAAATATAAGTAATATATATATCTGGTGTATCTACAAAATCAACAAACAATGATCCGTGTATTCAAGCCCATGTTTGCTTTGCGCCTGGCTGGTGCTATTGGCCAACATAATCCAAAAACAATGATGAACATCAGAAATTATGGCAAGCCCGAGCGTTTTATGTGGTAGGTAACATAGCATAAGAGGATGAAAAGAGGTCTTTTAAGCGTTCATTTTTGTTATCAGGTGCCAAACGAAAGTCAGCAAAGTACCCAAAGCCATTTTGGCGGACGGAAAAGAAATGCCTCTGATTGGACTTGGAACTTGGTTGGTAAGTGCAATTGATATCCTTATACATTTGTCGAAGCATTCCACAGCTTGGGTAAAATATTTGCGGTGTGCTTATCATCCTCTAGAACTGATCCAAATTAATTAGAAAAATGTATTACTTTTATAATGATTAAGTTACAATTGTGTGCTTATCGGGCGGTAAAGAGCCTAAGAGCAAAAAGCAAAATACAATTCCAAGATGCTTCATATGGCTTTCAATTCTTATTTTACCTATGATTCGTCTCTGACCGTCTCCCTCCGGCCCGCTGATATTTAAACATTTAAACTGAACGGCTGCGATCACACAGCTGTGCACCCGCATGCAGCCCTGGCCTGGGCCTCAGTGAGGGATTTCATACGATAGTACCGATGATTGGGTATTCTCATGCATAAATTCACCGCGCAAAAGCTTCTGGACTGTATAAATGTGCGAACAGCTGTGCCGCATTATTCAGTCTTTTAGTGGCCTTTGTGTATTATTATTATAATTTTGTAATCCCTGAAAAGTAACCAAGAAAAGCTAGCAAAGAGTACCATGGCTTCTAAAGTACCAAACGTGAAATTCAACAATGGCCACGAGATTCCCATTCTCGGTCTGGGCACTTGGGGCGTAAGTAAATAGTTGATAACTGCACCAATTAATCTACAGTTGCATATACTTATACATATGTTCGAATATATTCACATACATACATATGTATGTATGTGTCTCCCTTTGTATGCATTTTTGTTAAGTAGTTTTCCGCTGCCCACGACTTCCCATATTTTCTCTTCTAAATTCCAATTTTTCTCTGATAGCAAATGAAAAAGCTTAACACGCGTCTTTTTGCTGATAGTTTTGCCGGTTATGTTTAGCCGGCTATTCTATGTACATATACATATGAATACATATGCATGTATAGATTATATCAGTTACGAATACTAAGTAATAATACTTACAAATCGTCTAATCTTCCAACTAAGCAATTTGGAAATTTTCCATTGTTACGCAGACTTAGATTTATATGTTAATACCATATGTATGCATGTATGTACAAATGTTAAATGCTTTCAAATCAATTTGAATTAGCACTGGAGTTTACAAACTTTGTGTTACTTCTGTCAAGGTGACCTCTTGTCCATTTAAAGACAGTGGAAATTTTAATCAAAATTCTGCCACATCACTCCATACCATACATTGGTTGTGCCACACATCTTAAGTCTACAAACCTTTTGAGGTGGGCCAGAAGTTGATAAAAATTCTTATCTCGGATTGATCGTTTCTGATTGATAATGTTTTGTAAAAGATTTTGGTGAAGTGAGACAACGGGGGATATTAGAGACCTAGATCTGAAAATCGTCTAAGACAAGCCTCCTTTAAATAGAAAACGTATTTTTACCGATTACCATTTTTATATATTTTTTAATTTAAAATAATCCAAACAAGACAGGAAAGCGCAGCTTTTAGTTAATACTTTTACAGATCGATCGTGTAAAAAAGGGAAGCATTCATTATATTTTGAATATATTTCAGCACGATTATTGTAAGGCAATTATTAAGTTGGTTAAGAAAGCTCTTATCATTTTAGTATACAAATTTTTGTACCGAATAGAGATAATCGTATGTACACACAGACATATGTACATATGTGCATATGTGTATATGATGGAAATAGTTCAAGCCATAAATTAAATCTAGTCTGCTAGCTAAATTAAATAGCAGTACGAACAGATCCGATTCCCAAAGCACCAGCTTGTCATCTATCATTCTTATACGAGTATGTCTATCCCTAATTAATTGAACAGAAAAGAGCTGAATATTTTGACATAATTACTTAATATAGGGAGCACTTTTGCTGATAAGTGACGTCAAATGTCAGATAGGAAAAACGCACATATAATTCGATTTCTAAATCAAGCCCCTGAATACTGAAAGTTTTCTCAGCAACGATTAGGATTGCGAAATTCCATCTAGAACTTTAATTTCGCCACGATGACGTACACAATAGAAGAAGAACAGTGCGATATTGTTTGTACTTTCAAAGACCTTCCTTTCTTATTGAGATGATATTGCAAATAAATATATTATTGTGATAGAGTCGTGAAAAATGGTCGATCAATTAGCAAATTACTATTACACCGATCCAAATGAGCCTTGTCACAATTATGCCAACTATATGTTCGTCTTTTTAGAGCCCCAAAGGTCAGGTGACTGAAGCTGTGAAAGTGGCCATTGACGCTGGGTACCGGCACATTGACTGTGCCCACGTCTACCAGAACGAAGATGAGGTCGGTGCTGGCATCGAAGCTAAGATCAAGGAGGGAGTTGTGAAGCGGTAAGTACGCAATTGAGTTCATTTTGGGCATGGTTTTTATAATGACACGTGTCTGGCTTGCAGAGAGGAGCTGTTCATTACCAGCAAACTGTGGAATACTTTCCACCGCCCGGACTTGGTCCGCAACGCCTGTGAGAACACATTGGAAGCGTTAAAATTGAAGTACATCGACTTGTACTTGATCCACTGGCCAATGGGCTACAAGGAGGGCTGCGACCTCTTCCCAACCGATAAGGAAGGCAAGACCTTGTTCTCGCCAGTCGACTATGTAGATACCTGGAAGGCAATGGAGAAACTGGTGCAGGATGGTCTCGTCAAGTCCATTGGCGTCTCCAATTTCAACAAGAAACAGATCCAGCGCGTCCTGGATGTGGCCAAAATCCCTCCGGCAACCAATCAGATTGAGTGCCACCCGTATCTGACACAAAAGAAGCTCATTGATTTCTGTAAGTCTCGCGATATTACTATTACCGCATACAGTCCACTGGGATCGCCCAACCGTCCCTGGGCCAAGTCTGGCGATCCAGTGATTCTAGAGGAGCCTAAGGTACTTGCGAGTGCATTTGATTTGTTCTCAATATACCGTCAATTTCATATTTTTCATTTATTTTATAGATTAAGGAGATTGCTGAAAAGAAGAAGAAGACACCTGGACAGATTCTCATCCGCTACCAGGTCCAGCGCGCAAACATCGTTATTCCCAAGTCAGTGACCAAGGAGCGCATCGAGTCGAACTTCCAGGTCTTTGATTTCGTTTTGACCCCTGAAGAAATCGAAATAATCGAAAGCTTCGATTGCAATGGTCGTTTTGTGCCTTTGCTCAAGTGAGTAATTAATGTATTCCTTATTTAAAAAGTATCAGGTTATGTTTTAAGAAAAGTTTTAGTCGTGCTGTCTTTTATCACAGAAATATTAAAAGGATAATAGAAAATCTATCCGACTGTCCATCTGTAAAACCATCTTGTTGCCACTTACTTGACTGCAAGGGGATCAATCGGTCGTAAAGATTTTTCACTGCATATTAATGAATTTATATACCCTCGAAATCTAGAAATTCTATAGTTATTGACTTTTTCAGGTTAACGACTATTATTTTAATTATAAAAAACAGATTTTCATTTGCATAATACTCCTACACATGCACAAAATTATTTCAATATTTTTATTCCAATTATTGTTTATATTTATTTAGAGAGGCTGGTTGTCATAAATACTACCCATTTCACGACGAGTTTTAAGCGAAATGAAACCAATATCAACATAAAATTCAAAAAATACTTATTATGAAATAATACACATTGAAACCAAATAATATTGCAAGACTAACAACGATCGACATTCAAGGCAAATCTTTGTAAACAGATATCTGGTGTATGCGTATGTTTATTTAAATTCTTTCAGTGCCTTCTCCTTCACCCCTCAGTTAATTTCTGTTTACCAAAAAATGTATTTCCCCCGCTTGACTTTTTACCTGCTTTTATTTGATGTTCTTGATTTATTTGAACTAATTTGAGAGCTTGAACATAGTTGTAGCCTAACAATCTGCTCGTATGTTTTATGCGCTTAACCGTAAAGCTGTTCTCTCTTTTGGAGAGTGCTAACCAAAATCTTCTTAATTTAATTTCTTGAATCAACTTTTAATTACGTCTTCTCTAATATTTTACAGCGTTTACGGACATCCCCACCATCCCTTTGAGAATGATGAATACTAGTTGGCAAGAGGTGCCGACCCAGTGCTACACTTTTAAAATTTAATTTGTTACACAAACACCTAATGTTAAACCGTATGAATAAATAATCACAATTGGAACTATTTCGCTGCTGTATTGTAACTGAATTTTTGCAGAAATTTTATATTTGTCTTTGCCAAAGAAAGACTATGTGAGGCAATCGGCTCCTGCAGCTCTGACGTATGGCCCTGCCACGAGCGAGCGATTTACGTCGAGTCAAAGATCTAACAATTGTTTAATCCAAGCTACGAGCAAATATTTTGCACAGTTGTTTTATTAATTTTTAAAAGGTATTGACTTTAATCCATAGTTTAGTTCAGACAGTTTATTCAGTTTTTGTTATACATTTTTTTTGGCAACAATAGAAATACCAAATGTTTTTGAACAATTGAAATTTTTGCAAGCCCCACAAAAGCATCTACGCAAACAGCCGAAATATAATGGGATCGCTGATCTGTTCCCCATGTTAAGGTATAAAAGACGGTGAACCTCCAATTCGGCTAACAGATCTAGTAGATCTGACTCTTGGTCTCCTAGACGACCATGCGCTTGATATACGTCGCGGTTCTTGCCGCTTTACTGTCCCTCGCGGCGTCCCAATCATCATTACCCGTAACCGCAGTGGGTGCACCGGAAATAAAAGCCCAGCCATGCTGTGAAAGTGTTCGACAAACTCTCATAGAAATACGAAAGGATATCCGGCTGTGGCTACTCGATAGGCTGTTCGGAAAATTGATTCTTCTTCATGACGGAGAACTTTTGGGAAACCCAAACTATGTGAATTGTGCAAACGGAAAAAACCAAATTACCGTGCAAGACCAAAGTTCTCAAATTATCCACCAATTAGGTACCAATCCAAGCCAATCAAGTGACACGACCACCACAACATCCACCGATGAAAAAGATCTGCTAGGATCATTGAGAGACCTCTACAATGGGGTCACCCAATCGAGCACCACCAACGGAAGCTCTGGTCTTTCCTCTTCTTCTACAACGACTACAACCACCACAACATCCAACGATGAAAGCAATCAGTCTGCTTCAGAGTCTGAGCCCGTTGTCGATGCCAGCGAGTCCAACAGCACTGTTGAAGGTGGAGACTCGAATCAGTCCGCCTCCTCTACAACGACAACAACCACCACAACTTCAGAGTCTGACCCTGTTGTCGATGCCAGTGAGTCCAGCAGCACTGTTGAAGGTGGAGACTCGAATCAGTCCGCCTCCTCCTCTACAACGACAGCAACCATCACAACTTCAGAGTCTGAGCCCATTGTCGATGCCAGCGAATCCAGCAGCATCGTGGAAGGTGGAGTCTTGAATCAGTCCTCTTCCCCTACAACGAACACCACAACTTCAGAGTCTGAGCCCATTGTCGATGCCAGTGAGTCCAGCAGCACTGTTGAAGGTGGAGACTCGAATCAGTCCTCCTCCTCTACAACGACAACAACCACCACAACATCCAACGATGAAAGCAATCAGTCTGCTTCAGAGTCTGAGCCCGTTGTCGATGCCAGTGAGTCCAGCCGCACCGTTGAAGGTGGAGACTCGAATCAGTCCTCTTCTTCTACAACGACTACAACCACCACAACATCCAACGATGAAAGCAATCAGTCTGCTTCAGAGTCTGAGCCCATTGTCGCTGCCAGTGAGTCCAGCAGCACCGTTGAAGGTGGAGACTCGAATCAGTCCTCCTCCTTTACAACGACAACAACCACCACAACTTCAGGGTCTGAGCCCGTTGTCGATGCCAGCGAGTCCAACAGCACTGTTGAAGGTGGAGACTCGAATCAGTCCGCCTCCTCTACAACGACAACAACCACCACAACTTCTGAGTCTGACCCTGTTGTCGATGCCAGTGAGTCCAGCAGCACTGTTGAAGGTGGAGACTCGAATCAGTCCGCCTCCTCTACAACGACAACAACCACCACAACTTCAGAGTCTGACCCTGTTGTCGATGCCAGTGAGTCCAGCAGCACTGTTGAAGGTGGAGACTCGAATCAGTCCTCCTCCTCCTCTACAACGACAACAACCACCACAACTTCAGAGTCTGACCCTATTGTCGATGCCAGTGAGTCCAGCAGCACTGTTGAAGGTGGAGACTCGAATCAGTCTTCCTCCTCCTCTACAACGACAACAACCACCACAACTTCAGAGTCTGACCCTATTGTCGATGCCAGTGAGTCCAGCAGCACTGTTGAAGGTGGAGACTCGAATCAGTCCTCCTCCTCTACAACGACAACAACCACCACAACATCCAACGATGAAAGCAATCAGTTTGCTTCAGACTCTGAGCCCATTGTCGCTGCCAGTGAGTCCAGCCGCACCGTTGAAGGTGGAGACTCGAATCAGTCCTCTTCTTCTACAACGACTACAACCACCACAACATCCAACGATGAAAGCAATCAGTCTGCTTCAGAGTCTGAGCCCATTGTCGCTGCCAGTGAGTCCAGCAGCACCGTTGAAGGTGGAGACTCGAATCAGTCCGCCTCCTCTACAACGACAACAACCACCACAACTTCTGAGTCTGACCCTGTTGTCGATGCCAGTGAGTCCAGCAGCACTGTTGAAGGTGGAGACTCGAATCAGTCCGCCTCCTCTACAACGACAACAACCACCACAACTTCAGAGTCTGACCCTGTTGTCGATGCCAGTGAGTCCAGCAGCACTGTTGAAGGTGGAGACTCGAATCAGTCCGCCTCCTCTACAACGACAACAACCACCACAACTTCAGAGTCTGACCCTGTTGTCGATGCCAGTGAGTCCAGCAGCACTGTTGAAGGTGGAGACTCGAATCCGTCCGCCTCCTCCTCTACAACGACAACAACCACCACAACTTCAGAGTCTGAGCCCGTTGTCGATGCCAGCGAATCCAGCAGCATCGTGGAAGGCGGAGACTTGAATCAGTCCTCTTCCTTTACAACGAACAGCACAACTTCAGAGTCTGATCCCGTTGTCGATGCCAGCGAGTCCAGCAGCACCGTTGAAGGTGGAGATTCGAATCAGTCCTCTTCTTCTACAACGACTACAACCACCACAACATCCAACGATGAAAGTAATCAGTCTGCTTCAGAGTCTGAGCCCATTGTCGCTGCCAGTGAGTCCAGCAGCACTGTTGAAGGTGGAGACTCGAATCAGTCCGCCTCCTCTACAACGACAACAACCACCACAACTTCAGAGTCTGACCCTGTTGTCGATGCCAGTGAGTCCAGCAGCACTGTTGAAGGTGGAGACTCGAATCAGTCCTCCTCCTCCTCTACAACGACAACAACCACCACAACTTCAGAGTCTGACCCTGTTGTCGATGCCAGTGAGTCCAGCAGCACTGTTGAAGGTGGAGACTCGAATCAGTCCTCCTCCTCTACAACGACAACAACCACCACAACTTCAGAGTCTGACCCTGTTGTCGATGCCAGTGAGTCCAGCAGCACTGTTGAAGGTGGAGACTCGAATCCGTCCGCCTCCTCCTCTACAACGACAACAACCACCACAACTTCAGAGTCTGAGCCCGTTGTCGATGCCAGCGAATCCAGCAGCATCGTGGAAGGTGGAGACTTGAATCAGTCCTCTTCCTCTACAACGAACACCACAACTTCAGAGTCTGATCCCGTTGTCGATGGCAGCGAGTCCAGCAGCACTGTTGACGGTGGAGACTCGAATCAGTCCTCCTCCTCTACAACGACAACAACCACCACAACATCCAACGATGAAAGCAATCAGTCTGCTTCAGAGTCTGAGCCCATTGTCGCTGCCAGTGAGTCCAGCAGCACCGTTGAAGGTGGAGACTCGAATCAGTCCTCCTCCTCTACAACGACAACAACCACCACAACTTCAGAGTCTGAGCCCGTTGTCGATGCCAGCGAATCCAGCAGCATCGTGGAAGGCGGAGACTTGAATCAGTCCTCTTCCTTTACAACGAACAGCACAACTTCAGAGTCTGATCCCGTTGTCGATGCCAGCGAGTCCAGCAGCACCGTTGAAGGTGGAGATTCGAATCAGTCCTCTTCTTCTACAACGACTACAACCACCACAACATCCAACGATGAAAGTAATCAGTCTGCTTCAGAGTCTGAGCCCATTGTCGCTGCCAGTGAGTCCAACAGCACTGTTGAAGGTGGAGACTCGAATCAGTCCGCCTCCTCTACAACGACAACAACCACCACAACTTCTGAGTCTGACCCTGTTGTCGATGCCAGTGAGTCCAGCAGCACTGTTGAAGGTGGAGACTCGAATCAGTCCGCCTCCTCTACAACGACAACAACCACCACAACTTCAGAGTCTGACCCTGTTGTCGATGCCAGTGAGTCCAGCAGCACTGTTGAAGGTGGAGACTCGAATCAGTCCTCCTCCTCCTCTACAACGACAACAACCACCACAACTTCAGAGTCTGACCCTGTTGTCGATGCCAGTGAGTCCAGCAGCACTGTTGAAGGTGGAGACTCGAATCAGTCCTCCTCCTCTACAACGACAACAACCACCACAACTTCAGAGTCTGAGCCCGTTGTCGATGCCAGCGAATCCAGCAGCATCGTGGAAGGCGGAGACTTGAATCAGTCCTCTTCCTTTACAACGAACAGCACAACTTCAGAGTCTGATCCCGTTGTCGATGCCAGCGAGTCCAGCAGCACTGTTGAAGGTGGAGACTCGAATCAGTCCTCCTCATCTACAACGACAACAACCACCACAACATCCAACGATGAAAGCAATCAGTCTGCTTTAGAGTCTGAGCCCATTGTCGCTGCCAGTGAGTCCAGCAGCACCGTTGAAGGTGGAGACTCGAAACAGTCCTCCTCCTCTACAACGACAACAACCACCACAACATCCAACGATGAAAGCAATCAGTTTGCTTCAGAGTCTGAGCCCATTGTCGCTGCCAGTGAGTCCAGCCGCACCGTTGAAGGTGGAGACTCGAATCAGTCCTCTTCTTCTACAACGACTACAACCACCACAACATCCAACGATGAAAGCAATCAGTCTGCTTCAGAGCCTGAGCCCATTGTCGCTGCCAGTGAGTCCAGCAGCACCGTTGAAGGTGGAGACTCGAATCAGTCCTCCTCCTTTACAACGACAACAACCACCACAACTTCAGGGTCTGAGCCCGTTGTCGATGCCAGCGAGTCCAACAGCACTGTTGAAGGTGGAGACTCGAATCAGTCCGCCTCCTCTACAACGACAACAACCACCACAACTTCTGAGTCTGACCCTGTTGTCGATGCCAGTGAGTCCAGCAGCACTGTTGAAGGTGGAGACTCGAATCAGTCCGCCTCCTCCTCTACAACGACAACAACCACCACAACTTCACAGTCTGACCCTGTTGTCGATGCTAGTGAGTCCAGCAGCACTGTTGAAGGTGGAGACTCGAATCAGTCCTCCTCCTCTACAACGACAACAACCACCACATCTTCAGAGTCTGAGCCCGTTGTCGATGCCAGCGAGTCCAGCATTACCGTTGAAGGTGGAGACTCGAATCAGTCCGCCTCCTCCTCTACAACGACAACAACCACCAGCACTTCAGAGTCTGACCCTGTTGTCGATGCCAGTGAGTCCAGCAGCACTGTTGAAGGTGGAGACTCGAATCAGTCCGCCTCCTCCTCTACAACGACAACAACCACCAGCACTTCAGAGTCTGACCCTGTTGTCGATGCCAGTGAGTCCAGCAGCACTGTTGAAGGTGGAGACTCGAATCAGTCCTCCTCCTCTACAACGACAACAACCACCACAACTTCAGAGTCTGTGCCCGTTGTCGATGCCAGCGAATCCAGCAGCATCGTGGAAGGTGGAGACTTGAATCAGTCCTCTTCCTCTACAACGAACACTACAACTTCAGAGTCTGATCCCGTTGTCGATGCCAGCGAGTCCAGCAGCACCGTTGATGGTGGAGATTCGAATCAGTCCTCCTCCTCTACAACGACAACAACCACCACAACTTCAGAGTCTGAGCCCGTTGTCGATGCCAGCGAGTCCAGCACCACCGTTGAAGGTGGAGACTCGAATCAGTCCTCCTCCTCTACAACGACAACAACCACCACAACTTCAGAGTCTGAGCCCGTTGTCGATGCCAGCGAATCCAGCAGCATCGTGGAAGGTGGAGACTTGAATCAGTCCTCTTCCTCTACAACGAACACCACAACTTCAGAGTCTGATCCCGTTGTCGATGCCAGCGAGTCCAGCAGCACTGTTGAAGGTGGAGACTCGAATCAGTCCTCCTCCTCTACAACGACAACAACCACCACAACTTCAGAGTCTGAGCCCGTTGTCGATGCCAGCGAATCCAGCAGCATCGTGGAAGGTGGAGACATGAATCAGTCCTCTTCCTCTACAACGAACACTACAACTTCTGAGTCTGACCCTGTTGTCGATGCCAGTGAGTCCAGCAGCACTGTTGAAGGTGGAGACTCGAATCAGTCCGCCTCCTCCTCTACAACGACAACAACCACCACAACTTCACAGTCTGACCCTGTTGTCGATGCCAGTGAGTCCAGCAGCACTGTTGAAGGTGGAGACTCGAATCAGTCCTCCTCCTCTACAACGACAACAACCACCACAACTTCAGAGTCTGAGCCCGTTGTCGATGCCAGCGAATCCAGCAGCATCGTGGAAGGTGGAGACTTGAATCAGTCCTCTTCCTCTACAACGAACACCACAACTTCAGAGTCTGATCCCGTTGTCGATGCCAGCGAGTCCAGCAGCACTGTTGAAGGTGGAGACTCGAATCAGTCCTCCTCCTCTACAACGACAACAACCACCACAGCTTCAGAGTCTGAGCCCGTTGTCGATGCCAGCGAATCCAGCAGCATCGTGGAAGGTGGAGACTTGAATCAGTCCTCTTCCTCTACAACGAACACCACAACTTCAGAGTCTGATCCCGTTGTCGATGCCAGCGAATCCAGCAGCATCGTGGAAGGTGGAGACTTGAATCAGTCCTCTTCCTCTACAACGAACACCACAACTTCAGAGTCTGATCCCGTTGTCGATGCCAGCGAGTCCAGCAGCACTGTTGAAGGTGGAGACTCGAATCAGTCCTCTTCCTCTACAACGACAACAACCACCACAACTTCAGAGTCTGATCCCGTTGTCGATGCCAGCGAGTCCAGCAGCACTGTTGAAGGTGGAGACTCGAATCAGTCCTCCTCATCTACAACGACAACAACCACCACAACATCCAACGATGAAAGCAATCAGTCTGCTTCAGAGTCTGAGCCCATTGTCGCTGCCAGTGAGTCCAGCAGCACCGTTGAAGGTGGAGATTCGAATCAGTCCTCCTCCTCTACAACGACAACAACCACCACAACTTCAGAGTCTGAGCCCGTTGTCGATGCCAGCGAGTCCAACAGCACTGTTGAAGGTGGAGACTCGAATCAGTCCGCCTCCTCCTCTACAACGACAACAACCACCAGCACTTCAGAGTCTGACCCTGTTGTCGATGCCAGTGAGTCCAGCAGCACTGTTGAAGGTGGAGACTCGAATCAGTCCTCCTCCTCTACAACGACAACAACCACCACAACTTCAGACTCTGAGCCCGTTGTCGATGCCAGCGAATCCAGCAGCATCGTGGAAGGTGGAGACTTGAATCAGTCCTCTTCCTCTACAACGAACACCACAACTTCAGAGTCTGATCCCGTTGTCGATGCCAGCGAGTCCAGCAGCACTGTTGAAGGTGGAGACTCGAATCAGTCCTCCTCCTCTACAACGACAACAACCACCACAACTTCAGAGTCTGAGCCCGTTGTCGATGGCAGCGAATCCAGCAGCATCGTGGAAGGTGGAGACTTGAATCAGTCCTCTTCCTCTACAACGAACACTACAACTTCAGAGTCTGATCCCGTTGTCAATGCCAGCGAGTCCAGCAGCACCGTTGATGGTGGAGATTCGAATCAGTCCTCCTCCTCTACAACGACAACAACCACCACAACTTCAGAGTCTGAGCCCGTTGTCGATGCCAGCGAGTCCAGCACCACCGTTAAAGGTGGAGACTCGAATCAGTCCTCCTCCTCTACAACGACAACAACCACCACAACTTCAGAGTCTGAGCCCGTTGTCGATGCCAGCGAGTCCAACAGCACTGTTGAAGGTGGAGACTCGAATCAGTCCGCCTCCTCCTCTACAACGACAACAACCACCACAACTTCAGAGTCTGACCCTGTTGTCGATGCCAGTGAGTCCAGCAGCACTGTTGAAGGTGGAGACTCGAATCAGTCCTCCTCCTCTACAACGGACACAACCACCACAACTTCAGAGTCTGAGCCCGTTGTCGATGCCAGCGAATCCAGCAGCATCGCGGAAGGTGGAGACTTGAATCAGTCCTCTTCCTCTACAACGAACACTACAACTTCAGAGTCTGATCCCGTTGTCGATGCCAGCGAGTCCAGCAGCACCGTTGATGGTGGAAATTCGAATCAGTCCTCCTCCTCTACAACGACAACAACCACCACAACTTCAGAGTCTGAGCCCGTTGTCGATGCCAGCGAGTCCAGCACCACCGTTGAAGGTGGAGACTCGAATCAGTCCTCTTCTTCTACAACGACTACAACCACCACAACATCCAACGATGAAAGCAATCAGTCTGCTTCAGAGTCTGAGCCCGTTGTCGATGCCAGTGAGTCCAGCAGCACCGTTGAAGGTGGAGATTCGAATCAGTCCTCCTCCGTTGATGGTGGAGATTCGAATCAGTCCTCCTCCTCTACAACGACAACAACCACCACAACTTCAGAGTCTGAGCCCGTTGTCGATGCCAGCGAGTCCAACAGCACTGTTGAAGGTGGAGACTCGAATCAGTCCTCTTCTTCTACGACAACAACTACCTCCACATCCAATGATGAAAAGTCAAGCTCCTCGTCTGACCCCGTTGTCTATAGTCGCACAAGTAAAAAGGGTGGAAGCTCAAGTCAGTCCTCTTCCACCACGACAACAAGCACAACATCTTCCAGTGGAAATACTCCGACAAGCTCCTCGTCGAAGCCAGTTGTTAATGTGAGCCAATCAAGCTCCACAAAGGGTAACGGAGGTTCGAAGAAGTCTTCTTCAACTAAAACAACCACCATAACAACATCAATCAATGGCAAACCTGTTGTAGATGCCAGTCAGGGAAGCACTGTTGTTAATGGTGGAAAATCAAGCTCGACGTCGAGCAAAACTACAAAGACGTATACTTCGAGCTCTTCGAGGATTCCTGAGAAGAACAGAAAATCAAGCACAACCACAAGCAAAACTACCAAGACCTATTCCTCTAGCTCATCAGGTGTTCCCAAGGCACTTAAAGAGTCATCGTCAAGCGAAAGTGCACCCACATCTTTGTCGGATGTGCCAAAGTCGAATGGAAAGTCAGGCTCTACCTCAAGCAAAACTACAACCACATATACATCTAGTTCTTTGAATGTACCTAAGACTAAAACATCATATTCCTGGTCAAGGTCATCCAAGAAAATATCCAATGGTGGTAAAGCTTATGGGGTTCCAGTTCCAGGTTCAATCACAGGCAAATCCGGTTCAGGTTCAAGAAAGGCATGGTCAAAGCGTTCCACCACTCAAATCACTAGCCAACCAGCAATTGATGCGTCTTCCATAGATGGCGGATCGAACTCATGGTCTAAACTTATCAAAAGGGCTACACCGGGCTCATTGACAGAAGATGAAACTTCTGGCAGGGGCATAGGATCTCGTGGCTCACATTCTTGGTCTCAGCGCTCAGGCTTCTCTGGTGATAGCTCTGATTTAACCGGCTCCGCAGACTTCCGTGCCAGATTTGGCAGGGACCGCAACGGTCGCAATGAGCTGCTCAACTCAGGAAATCAAGGGTCCCGATCATGGACAAAAACATCCTCAGAAGCCAATGAAAACGACACCGAAAACGCAGATGATAATGTGGCATCTGAAGATAATTCAGAAGACATGAAAAATGTGCAGGAATCAAGTTCCGGCGATGAAACATCAGATCAAGCTGGCTCACTGCAAGGCTCCGGACAATACCCCGGGCAATACTGGTGGGGAGGAAACAGACGTTGGGTTGGAGCCCGACCTAATTGGCGGTACGGCTGGCGTCCATATGGAAGCGGTTGGGGTGGATGGAACAATCGTTATCAAAAGTCGTGGACCGCATAAATGGGGTTAGGCCCTCGGCACGGTACGACTATAGACTTTCAGTTAAATGATTGATTTTAACGATTGTAAAATATATATGCATTTGAATATTACCTTATTGGGTTTTTTTTTTTGTCCAATATGCTTGCAAATGCGATAATATGAATGTATGGCTGTCAAGCTGTGGGAAATGGGTTTCCTGGCCTTACACGCTCCAAAATGTTGTCTTAAATGCACACTGTTGCACCCAAGACTGGAGGAGACGTCTGAGGTAAATGCCTAATGTACTTAAACTAGTATGATATTTCACAACTTCCGTTTGCTTCGGCTTAACAGTTTTACGGCTTCGATCTTCATCTCAGATAAGATACCAATCTCCCACGAAAAATATCGATAGTTAGTGCACACTAAGCCGAGTTAACAATCAGCAAACACACTGAAGCAAATACCTAAATATGCACCAAGAATTCGGAATAAAAATAAACTTACATGTGTAAATATTTTTCGTCTATTTATTTGTTTCTCTTTTATTTGTAACGATCAAATGCGGCCTATGGGAGATACAAATCAAATTCCACTTCGAATTTGTGGTACATTTTGAAATAAAAAAGCAAAGCATTTTATTAAATTTTTAGAAGAAATTCATTCATTCCAGAAGTCTAGAAGAAAAAGTAAAACTTTTTTCCATCGCTTGTACTGTTTCGAATTATTTGTATAAGATCTATCCATTGGATTCGTGATAGCTTCGCTGGTTGCATGGACGTCTCCGTAGTTGTTGTATACCCGGAGGTAGCAGATGCAATCGACATCATCAGCAAAGCGATAATAAAGAGAGAGAGTTTACCAGCCTGCTTCATTTTTCTTTGGAATGCTGACTAAAGCCAAATGGTCTTGTCTTGGTGCTATATATCATTTTTCAGATATTTGTGTACATTTTATGGTCACAAATATTTGAACACATGTTTTTGGCGTCAATCACTAATAACGCAAAAAGTCAGCAACCTGAATCGTGAAGGGGGAGTCACTGAGAGCACCTAGAATAGTGTGAAGTTTATTCGAAATCGGCCTTGTTTTGGGGTCGCTTTGGTAATTACATACAAATGTAGTTAATGTGTAGCGACAGTGTAGTTAGTGCGTAGGTACCATGTAAGGAAATTTAGTGGAAAATGTTGTTGACAGTATTTGTTTAAACCATATTTTATTAGCAATGCAATAAAAAGATTACAACTTAAATTTAACCAATCTTATAGGAAATTGATTTAAAATTCGGATAAAATTATGAGTTCACAGGTGAGGGTCTCACCTGTCTAGTGATATTCAACCGAATATTAAAAACGAGGAATAGAAGCCAACTTGAATGCAAATAATTCGTCAGTATGTTAACGGTATATTTTGAAATTTGCGTATCGATAATCCGCGGTCACACTGGTTACAGGATAAATAACATCTAAAATTCCATGAAAACACATCGAAAGCAATTAAACAATTTTGACAATTAAAACAAAAACTACTAGGAAACGGTAAGATACGCATTCAATTATAAGAGATGTCCAGACAACAAAAGCTGAAGTGAGCCACATAAATCACAGCGCAGCGCATAGACACACACGCACACACACGTCGAATTCACGCACACACAGACAGGGAATATGAAAATCTGGAAATTTTCATTATTTTGTAGATGAAATAGTTATGTTATGTGGCATTTGCAATACATTTCAGAAACATACAACACAAGCAACTGGTTAAAACGATTCAGTCGCAGCACATATAAGAAGGCTTCATAAGGAGAGCCCTGGCGGCCTTCTTTTCCTACGACGACATCTTCAGACAAAGAACAGTGCAGCCGTGAAATACGCAAATAAAAAAGCAACCACAGAGGCACTGCTCCAGGGCACCATCTACACGCCGCAACGTCATTTATGCCCTAGAGAAGCCTCAAGTCGAGCCCTTGTGTTGCGTTTCTCGCTTTTGCTGGATAAATACTTTTCCACGCTACCAACAAAGACGAAAATAGAGCAAGAGGAAGGGGAAGCTGCATCAGAACCATGACGATCAAGCCAGTAAGCGCACCCAGCGCGAAACGCGTGGTTGGCAACGTCGTGGATGCGGACAACAAGGAAGCACACGCAACCGGACAGGTGGCGGTCGAGCAGTCAGTGGTTAATCAAACGCATCGCAATGTCGTCATCGATGGTCACGGCCAGGTGAGTCTGAGTCTTTGGCTTTCCAAGACAGCGACTTCCCCAACTCCACACCACTTCATTTCCACTAATGCTTGTGTATTTGCATCGCGCAGAGTCCTCAGAGGCGCGGCGAGGTCTACGACGATTTGGCACGCACTCACCGCTGCAGCCCACACAAAAGGTGAGTGGTGGTTTTCGGCCCACATTCCTTGGGTGACTATCACATGCATGTAAAATTGCACATGTGGAGCGATGTGGGCTCCCTCCAGACATACATAGGAAGGTGCTACCCCTGCCTCCTGCCCAATCGACTTCTAGGGCGTTATACTGAAATGCCAGCATGCCCCTGCAAAATATGTAATCAGTTGGATAAGTCAAGAGCAGGGATTTGGAGCGGCTTACAGGCCGTACATATACCCTTTTAGGTTCCATAAACCAAGAAACCAAAGGAGGCTTGACTTTTGTTTGTTATTGGCTGTTCGTTAAACGACCTTTGACTGAACCAAGTTAGCATAGCAAATTTGAATCAGTTTGTAATTCGCAATGGTACCAATTTCAGCCATTGTAGTCATCATCTATATACTCTAGATTGATTGATTCATTTATTGAACTTTTCTATTATTTTAAAGCAGCGCACGTTCGAAGCGTCGCGAACACCACGACAGTCATGCGCATCATCACAAGCGCGACCGCTTGGAGCGCGAAAAACTCATCCATCCGGCCGTGGCGACGGGCAGCGTGCCTGGTGTGACTAGCAGCAAATGCACCAGTCCTCCTCTAGCCACAGCGTCTGGCAGCAGCAGCCCATCAGCAGTGGGTCGCAAGTCGCCTGAACATCTAAGCTTGGGATGTGCCAATGTGCCCACGACGCTGGGCCAGATTCCGCCAACCACTGCGGCGGCTAATCTAACGAAGATAGCGGAGGATACCTTTTCCGGTTACAACAGCGGTGACGAGCATCTGCAGCCAAAGGAGCGCAAGATTCCAGTGGAGGAGTGGAAACGTCGCGATCTGGAGTTCGCCAAATGCATGGCAGAGAACGGCTACGAACTAAAGCCCGTCGAGGAGGACGGGGCATGCCTCTTTCGGTCCATCTCGCTTCAGATATACGGGGATGAGGGAATGCACGATGTGATTCGGCAGCATACCATGGATTATATTGTAATGATGGAAGCCCTCTGCTGGATTATCTGAACTCGAACTTAATCTGTTCTCTGTTGCAGCAAGAGAACCGCGAGTACTTTGGGCAGTTTGTCACCGAGGACATCAGCAGCTATATCCAGCGCAAGCGGGCTCGCGATGCTCACGGCAATCACATCGAGATCCAGGCCATATCGGAGATCTATAGTCGCACCGTCGAAGTGTACTGCTATCAGGCTAGTAAGTTGTTCTTTTATCCAAATCGAGCGCTAAAAGCAGCTACAGTTGAGATACCTTTTTCTAAAATATTTGTATTTCAGCCCCAATCAATATCTTCAACTCTGAGCAATCGCAGGCTGGCTATCCCCCGCTCCGCTTATCGTATCAGCGTGGCTCTCACTACAATGCCATCTTGGACCCCTACAATGCCTCCGTTGGCGTTGGCCTGGGCTTGGCTGGCTACAAGCCCCAGGTTCAAACTAAAGAGGCTTTGCATCTCAGTGAGCAGCTGGAGATCGAGCAGGTGAGTTGTGCAACCGATCAGTCGATCCACCGGTATTTAGTGCCAACTTCCCAATCGTAGACGATGTTCGAGGACAAGCTGAAGACCACAGATTGGGAGGCCACCAACGAGGCCATTGAGGAGCAGATTGCACGCGAGTCCTACTTGCAGTGGTGTCGCGACAACATGCAACGATCGCGCAGCAGCAACACAGCCGGCGGCTCGGCCACATCCTCGACAGTTACTTCGGCAGAGGCTCTCACAGACTCGGACGCCTCGCCCTCCAAGTACTCGTGTGGCGGCACTAGCAGCAACGGTGAAATCGCGGCCGCAACTCTGGCTAGCGTTAGCGGTGCTGCCGGCACATCCACAATGTTTTCGATGTCGCCCAAAACACTCACCCAGTTTGGGCACAAGCTGCCGCCAGACGTCGGTGACCTGGGCGGCTATGAAAGCGACGCCACAGACATGAGCAGCACCAGCTCGGTGGGGCACTGCGGTGGCAACGCCTCCCCAAGCACTGCAGCCGCCCAGCGGTCTAGCAAAGCCTCCAAGTCACAGCGCCGCACTACACTGCGCAAGAAGCGCCGCCACGAAACTCGTGAGGGATCGATTTCTGGCAATAGGTGTGTATGCATAAATCGTGTTTTTGGCTGTGTAATATGTGAATGTAATATTATCTATCTTTAGTACTGAGGCTATTGACGCACCGGTACGCAAAAGTCCCAAGCGCGATCCTGTTCCACCTGCAGCTCGTGCCATCACCCCAGAGGCTGATCAGCAGCCGTGCACATCGAAGCAGTCGTCACACTCGCCGCAAAAGCGATTGGATGCTCCGTCGTCGAACATCTACCAGGAACTACTCGAGGCTTCCCTTGCCAATGATGGTGAGTTCCAGACAAACAGTTCTGTGGAGTCATAATCAAATCCTTCTTGCTGTGGCAGGGCTCAACGAGAGCGAGATGCTTCAGCGGGCCATTCAAATGTCGACAAGTGATTATATAAAAGACCAGAAGCGAAAGTATCTCTGCGGGCCATAGGAGATGGACGGACAACAGCCGCCACGCGTCGTTCTTTGTACAGTGATTTAAGAGTTCTTTTCGCAACGAAAACGAAACACAAAACCTACCAAAAACCAAACGCAGCAAATATCTACGATCTGAAATCTTTGATGAATTCATGAATTTATTGGACAGGAAATCGGGGCATGCCCCTTTTTTCAATCGCATACACTATACTCTATATACGTATGTATAGATTAAAGTTTTATTTTTTTTAAAGAAACCCCAATACAATGCAAAATCATTCATCATCGAATCTGCAGATTGATTTGTACAGATGCACAAATTTTGATAAGCTTCGAATTCCCGATTCTTTCCGATTTTCTATCACGAATGTGTGCGTCTCAATCCTGCTCCGTTTCCCCTAATATAATTAATGCGTAACCTGTAATTCGTACATTCATACATCATAATTTAAAATTAAATTTTAGTTTCGTACGAGAACAGTGGATCAAGCCTGCTCGCAGTACATAAAGGCATTCAAAAAATACGAAAACATACAGAATATACATAATGCTAGTGTTAAATTACTTAATTGAATATAATAAATGGTGCATAATAATCATAAATGATCAGTACTCTAAATAAAGTTAATAACCCTAGAAAGTGCAATTGTAACAATTGTTTGGAGATTGTGGGCTTACCCTTGGCACATATTAATGCGGGCAATGAGCGTTTTCTATACTCGTAGGCGGAGATCATATGAGAGAAGAAATCTCTATTAAGTATAATGCGAATGGGGCTTTTGAATATTTGGAATATTGGAAGATATCAGTTTCTAAACAGTTTCAACCAATGAAAGTTAATCTAGGAGTCGCGATATAGCACCGAGGGACATTATGAACCAATCGTTGGTAAGAACGGAGAGAACTTATCAAAGCTAGTCGTTCTCTCTTGTCCTGTGGTCTCGTTAGAAAACAATTACACAGGTCTTGGGAGTTTTCATCTTATTGCGGATCCACATATCCCCCTGACGTATCGTATTCACAGTTGTGGATTAAAGTTCGCATTACTCAATGCCTCCAAGCAATGGAAATCTCCTCAATTTATATGAAAACGAGCGAGAACGTTGTTTATACCCGATTATCAGTCAGTTGCCATCTCGCTCACTTCCGTCAGAGCGCGCACACTGGACAAGAAAGAGAGAGGGAGAAGAGAATGAATAAGCGCGGGGCTGGGTCTTGCGCATCCACTAAAATTTCATGTATTCCTTCTGGATATAATAATGATTCGATCTGATCTAGATTCGGCAGTCTCAAGACACTCATCGAGACTGACTTGTTGAGCCACATAAAATTCACGATTCCTATTTGATGCTTTAGCAACTGTATACCGTTGTCCCTTCCGCTTTTTAGATCGAATAGATGTATTGCATGAACCGTTTAGGGTCTTACGGAATATATTTCCCTCTACACTCTATTTTGAGGGCAGTCGAAAGGCAGTGCTCTTTCAGTCGTCACTGCCAGGGATTCGACCGTAATAGGCTTCGGCTTGGCATCGCACGGGCCACTTGATGGTGCAGTCATTGCATATCAACGTCCAATTATGTATATTCGGTTCCTCTGGGTGTTTGACACATCCAATTCCACCACAAATATTCCACCAATATACTATACCCCTATACTCTTTGAGTATCCGGTATAAGCACACACCATAGTATAGAATGAACAAATTCCGACAAGTTTAAGATCAAATTATATTGTTTACTACATTTTTACACTTGTTTTGTGGCTCTTTTATCGGTGTAGCAAAAGTGAAACGTACATACATTCAATTCAAATATCTGATTCTGATCCGTACCTAGATGCAAGTGTAAATCTAAATTGCAATCGTTTACATTATATACATTATATACGCGGATATATAAATATACATATACGTATGTATGTAGTGCGCCTGCATTTTACAATCATGTGTTCACGTAATCGTACAGGCATGTGCATTGCATACCATACGATACGGGTTCTATTTGTAAAAAAATACCTTTCACTAAAATACATCGCTTACAAAACTATTATTCCTTTGCACAGTTCTCTTAAAGTATGTATTCTATGGAATGTTTTTTGGGGCAGACAGAGGCCTGGGACCGACACCACTCCTAGATGATAAATAGATAGCTCTCTCTATCGTCATATGATTTTCGATTTTGAATAGTAAAGATAGGTAGGCAAATACTTTTGGAAGGAAACTGTTTTAAGCTTAATAACTGATTGCGGAAATATGGGATCGGATTTTGGAAAGATCATTACGAGCTTAGGATGCAGTTCTTAATAGAATTAGGCCTGATTTTTAACGATTTTATTAGGATTTTGGGTTAGCAAAGAATTCTGAACTTTGATTACAAGTTCCAAACAGAAGAATGTAGTCCCGATTTGTGCGTGTAGATTCGGAGACGGTCCCAACTGTCGTCGGGGTCTGGCTGGTGGGGGGCGGCTTACCATTAAAATTGTACAGCGTTGGGAGTTTCCATGTGGAAGCTCCCGGGATATTTGCTAGCGAACCTGCTGATATCGTCAACGATATTCTCCAGTGTGTTCTATCCGATTTGCGGAGTCAATTAAATTGTGTGGACCGAGAGAGTTGCGTTTGGGCCAGCCGCCAGCCGTTTGGGACTGGCGGCCGGCTGTGAGGCGGAATCGAATTTTGCTTAACTGACTTTACAAAAATCATTTGGCTAATTTAGCATCTGCTGCTGTTGCTGCTGCCCCTGGGCCTGGACCTGCTGCACCTGCGTCGCCTGTTGCTGCTGCTGGGTGATCACGATGTGGTGTTGCTGCTGCTGCTGCTGCTGTTGCTGCTGTTGCTGCTGCTGCTGCAACTGCTGCTGCTGGCTGGCCAGCTGATTGGCGTGCTGTAGCGCCGCGGTGGTCGCCTCTGTCACCACCGGCTGGAGCATGCTGGTGCCGTTCTCCCGCCGCACGTGGCTGTTCAGCTCGGCCTTCACACGGCGGGCGATGTGGGAGCGGGTGTGCTTGCGGAGGTGGTCCTTGCGGTAGAAACCCTTGCCGCACTCCTGACACTGGTGCCGTTTCTCGCCCGAGTGGATGACAAAGTGCAGGCTGAGTTGCTCTTTGCGCTTGAAGGCCTTGAGACAGACGGTGCAGATGTAGGGGCGCTCCGGGTTGTGCGACTGCTTGTGGCGTGTCAGGTGGTCCTTGCGCTTCAGCGACGCCTGGCACACGTCGCACACGTACCGCTTCTCCAGGTTGTGGCCCACCAGGTGCACCTCGAGCAGCTCCGGCTCCGGATAGGCCACATGACACTCGGGGCACATGTACAGCGGACTGCCGTCCAAGGCCGTTCCAAGTCGGATCTCGCCCGGACGCAGCTTCGGCTTGCGGTCCTTGCTTCGCTTTTTGCGCTTCTTCTTCTTTGTGGTGCTTGTGGAGACGCCTGTCGCCGCAGACGTGGATGCCACGGCCGCCTGTGTCTGCGCCTGTGCCTGTGCCTGAACCTGCAACGTCGTCTGCTGCTGCTGCAGCGTCAACTGGTCCTGCTGAGGTATGCTGATGGTTGTGGTGCCAATGGTGTTGATCCCTATGGCTGGTCCCGTTTGAACCTGCAGCACCTGCCATGAAAAGCCATCGATTAGTAGAGTTTGCCCAGTCACGGCACAGCTCGTAGCCACTCACCACGTTCTGCTGGTTCTCCTTCTTTATCGTCTCCGCCGAGTACTTGAGGAAATGGTGCAGCGACAGGGGCAGCGTGTTGGCCGGAAGATGAGAGAGGTAGTCGGCGACGGTGGTGCCCGGCGTGAGCGTCTGCCAGGAGGTGTTCTGGAGCACTGAAATTTGGGATGACGATGAGTTGGACTCAAAGATGGGGATCCTGGCTGAGGAGGGACTCACCTTGCTGCTGCAGGATGGCGTTGCACAGATCCTGGGTGAGTTCCTGCGGCGCGGCCACCTGTTGCTGCTGCATCTGTTGCTGTTGTTGCTGCTGCTGTGCCTGGCCGGAGGTTCCCGCCTGGAGGGCGTCGGAGGCGCCGCTCGTTGCCGTCGCACTGGCATATGCGACTGTGGCATACTGCGGCTGCTGCTGCTGCTGCGCGGTGGACACCAGGTGGCCGTTGTACTTGTCGCCCTGCATGCCCTCCTCCTGACCGCTGCGGAACTTGCTGCTGCTGCCGCCCCCGCTCTGCCCCGCCGCCATGCTCGGCTGGCTGAAGTGCGTCATGCCCACTGTGGTGGCGGCCTGTTGCTGCTGGTAGCGTGTGCTCCCGCCGCCTGCATCCTGCTGCTGCTGCTGCTGCTGCTGCGGGTTATTGGTGGCCGTCACCGTCACATCGGCCACCGCGGCGGTCAGGGACGAGACGAGGGGCGCCGTGCTGGTTGTGAATTGGGGCAGCCCAGGGATATTGCCGGGGAAATTGTTCCCGAAGGGTGTGAAATTCATTTTTCACTCGTTTCTCGGCTCTCAGCCGATCTCTCTGCGGATTCGGGGGAGATTGGATGTCTTCGTCGTTGAACACCGGGCGACTGAAATGAGAAATCCATTGATAAATAATGTGGTGGTGTTATGATTTAGCTATGTATATATTCTAGATATGTAGATGCAGTCGTGTAAGTTTTTGGGAGGAATCCAGTTGTATAGGAATAGATATATGCTTTAATTCGTTTTGTTGTTTATAATTAATGATCACAGTACATATGCCTGTGATTGACTGTTAAGGATCTAAACGGAAAAGCCCGACCTGTACCCTTATAAAGAGGTTAGCATCCTCCAATATTTTGGAACGGAACCATCCCCGACTTTATAAGGTGTCACAAAAATTAGACGTCCAATAAAGGCAATTCAATAAATGGTCCCCTTCCGTTTTTATACCAATAAAGTCCTCTTATCGTTACTGAATTGAATTTCGAAATTAATATTGGTACTCTCCATTTGATATTTTTGAATACATTTTTTAAATTAAATATAAAGAAAATGTGCATTGAAATTAGGTAAAACTCATTTTAATTACAGATCCTTTCTGGTAAAATTCATATCCTTAAAGTGGCTCCAAATATTTATTGGTACACTGTTTAAAACGGAACTTCATGCAGACCCTAAGAGATACATACAAAGATCTGTTTTGCCGCTTTGGATAGGTGGATTTCAACGTTATCCTGTTTAAAAATCCACTCTTCCCCCCAGTGTGCCTCACCAAAATGTATTGATACAGACTTATGTTCATCTGAGAATTCATCCGAGATGATACGAAACATACAGGTGATCTTCCGCGAAGTCCATTGCAAGCCACGTAAGTACGTCATTTTTCCGTTGAATGTTACGTTTTCCCATTCACTTCCCATACAAGCCGTTTTATGCCTGGACAGAAGCATAGGCTTGCGCGCCATTTTTATACCCGGTACTCGAAGGGCATGGTTGAAGTGGATGTGTGTAACACCCAGAAGGAATCGTTTCCGACCCCATAAAGTACATATATTTTTAGTCGGCATCAATAGCCGAGACGATATAGCCATGTCTGTCTGTCCGTCTTAGTTCTAGTTCTCCATAAGAGATAGAGGAACCAAATTTGATATCCAGATTCCTGACTACGCAACCCTCTTCCACGCGCCTACTCCTTTTCTCTCTATTTCTCTCACACACACATTCTTCATACTGCAGTGCGCGCCCTCTGGCGGAAGGAGCGCGATAAAACGGCTGTTGTTGGTGTGAGAATAGAAAACTATAGACAAATGTAAATACAAAATTTAAAAAAGAAAAATGTAAACAGATAAAGTCTAGTATATCATATAAAAATTCCCCAAACGGTGGGACTGATTTTTCTGAAAATATTTCTTGGCAAAAAAGTAAATTGGTTTCTTTTTTGCAAAAGGCGAAACCAAACGACATACAAAATATATTGTATAAGTTACATAAATCATAAGCTCACATATGTACATATATATTGACTGAGTACCGGGTATAAAGTAGAGCCGTGGCCTTTTCCGCGCCTCACAACGATCCTTTCATCGGAACTTAATATTTGCTACATATCTGCGACGGGAAGTGATCCCAGTAGAAAGCTTAGCCTTTACATCCCGTGAACTAGTCGCCGTACTTACGGCCAAATTCTTTATTTGGATACACATTTATCCTATTCTAGTGTCAACTGATTCATTTAGGATCTTTATCAGGGACAAATACACTGGAATAATTCTCCATTGAAATGATAATGTTCCCCAATCGGCTAACGGGGAAACGAAATGACAAGCGGGACTACAATTTAAGCTTAGATGAAAATTCGCATGAAAAGTGAAAACATCGTTGCAGTGTTCGTGGTCCCAAACACACACACACACAGTGCGACACAGTAGTGCTCCACACAGACGTACAACCACGCGGCAGGACCAAGACCGTGAGAAGCATCGCGACGATAAAAAAGAGCGCCAATCCTGCGCGCTACATCGGAAAGAGAAAAAAGAGAGTGAGCAGAGCCTCAACAATGGGTAGGGAGGAGTGGGAAAGAAATATTGATAGTTGGCAGAGGCATGGTGGCCGAGGGCAGAGGGTAGAGGCGCAGGCGGAGGCACAGCCATGATGAGCTAGTGTGTCGGTACATGAAGATTAGGTTAGGGCTGACCGTTGATTGTTAATGTTTAACCAATTCGTGAATCGAACTCAAAGACACCGCTTAGAGGATACGGAACCCGCGGACCCCCTCTTCAGTTGGGGAATCGTTTGAAGAGTCCGACTCGTGAGCCGGGAGGCAGTCAATGAATGGGTTCCTTCATATCGATTTTCTCCAAGTACGCAAATTAGTGCCGTGTTTAATTGAGTAACAGCACACACACACGCACGCACACACAAACACACACGTACCGACTCCGCTCCGAGCAGGAGCTCCCCGCCGGAGTCATATTTAAATTTTTCCGGTAAGTTATTTGTGTTTACAGCAGCCCCACCACAGAGGACTTTCACTTGGGAACGCGGCATTTTTCCCGTTTTCCATCTCCGAGATGGAGGTTGCTCGCGAACGAACCCGTGACACAATAAAGGAGAGGCGTCCGTCTGTCCGTCCGTCCGTCCAACACACGGACAAAGGAAAAGCCGTAGCCACAGCCACAGCCACAGCCACTGCCACAGTCTCAGCCGCAGTCGATGCAGACGTCGACCGCAGCCGATCGGCTGATGTCTGGCTGCATGGCGAAACTGCAGCCGATTGCAGTGTTCCGTTATGGCAGCGTGGTGTTTTTTGTTTTCGCAGCATGTCACCCGCCCGCCCACAAAACACACGCCCCTCAAGGGAATCCCTGATTCAGTGGCTCCGCGAGTGGGGGAAGTGGGGTGGGTGTGGGAGTGGGGGGCGCGGCAAAAAATATGTATTGGAGGAGCCGGCTGGCTACCACTATTTGTACCTCGTACCTACTGCTGGCGCTCACTATCGTCTGGGTGGCGCACACATGCACATGCACCATGCACGGACATGGACACGGATACGGACACCCACTCCGTCTCTGGCTGCCGCATCCACGACTGGCCACCTATCGGCGTGTGGCGCAACTTCACTACTGATGACCCGACCCGACGACATGCCCAGCCATGCCATTCCCTGCCATGCCAGGCCAGGCCGTTTGTTCGCTTCAAGTTATCCCGCCTGGCCCCCAAGGCCACCCCACAAAGCCGCTCCTCGTGCAAAGCACGAGACAGAAGCTTCGGCATTTGCCATATGATTGTGTTAGTTTGTCTAACTCTGTAGATGAGTCTGAGCGTGCGAGAGAGAGAGAGAGAGAGAGAGTGGTGGTGTGGACGGTTGAGTGTCAGAAACGAGAAGAGACAGCGAGAATAGCGCCAGAGAGCAAAAAACAACTAGCGCTCTTTTATAGTAAGAACCAAGGCTTACCTACAGAAGGTGAGGCACTATATATGTAACGTCTCTCCTGTCCGTCACTCGCCCTCCTTCGGAGAGAGAGTATAGGATTGTGGTGAGAGTGCTCTCTGCGAATGGCTCACCCTATATTAACACGCCTTGCTAATAGCCGTTTTATTTGCGATTTGTTCAGCCTGCGTCGACGTACATAGATTTTGTAAACCATGCAAGCAATCCCGTGAAGGTGCGGGTGTGCAGTGTCTGCATCGACATGTGGATATGCTCGATCAGATTGGAAACAAGAGGACTACAATGAACACCATTATCCCCAGTCCAGCTGGAAGCATTATTCCCGCAATCATCACTCCTCAGCAACAGTGTACTGTACACTAATCGAAAATATCAGTTACGGTACGTTTCGGTAACCGTTAAATTGTTCCAAGCAACGCGATCGATCCCGTTAGTACCGCCATGCGTTTTCCCTGGCTAGTTCTGGCTTCATGGCTCTCTGTCGCGGATCCAGGACGTGCAGGAGCTCAGAGGGGTGACTAGAGCGATCCAGGTAGCGGGTCTGGGAATGCTATATCCATGATCTTACTCTCCCCAGATGAGCACTACGATGTCGTGGGTGTCTCCTGTGGGCAAGACGAGGTCGTCAGCTGCATGCTCGTCCGGTGCACTGAGGGCGGCTTCTGCCCGGCGGAACAGTACTGCTACGACCCAAAATGCGTTTGCCGCCGGGGGTATCGGCGGGTGCGAGGAGCATGCCTGCCCAAGCACACGGCCCACCACCTGGACAGCGATACCCTCAACTCGGCCCTGCTGCAAACACATTTTCAAGAGAATTTTCACTTTTAACTTTTCGTTTTTCATCATTTTTGCATTAAGGCTAAAGAAAATTAATAGAAAATACTCGTACTCAAGTGATAATTCGTGGGGGTTCTGGGTTTTCTGTTGTTTCTGTTATTCTTTATAACCAAACATGTGTTTCTTGTCACACATTCTGCGGCCCAGAAACACCTTATAGTAATAATACGATCCATCCATTTCTTTTCTTCTTGAGTTTTAGGGAAAATATCAGCTTTTCGCTAAAAAACATCATTGAAATAGTTGAGATCTTGATAGTTTAAAGGCTTTTCCTTCCACCACACATATTTCCATCACTGCAGCCCCACATGCAGTCCCAAAAGCATGACTCCACCATTTCCCCATGAGTCCATGTGTGTGTGTGCCCTCCATTCACATGATTCACTCATGTAAGTGGGGGTGTGTGTGTGCCCTTCAGATTTGCATTTGCAGGAGAACTCGAGCAGAACATCTGCGGCCGGAGCAAGAGCAGGAGAGGCAGGAAGCACAGCTGCAACCAAAACAAAGATGCTGCACCCCTGACACTGACACTGAAAGCCGCACCCAAGGCCAATCAACGAAACCAGGCCACGCACACGAATTCCGGCACGGCACGGCGTTGCATGGGAACAGCGATGGGGCGATGACGCAGCGATGACGATGCTCCCGGCGAACGGCCTACCACTGCAGGAGGATGGCCACCCTGCCGCACCACACCACCCACACCACCTCCCCTCTCCCACACAGCGGCAGGCCAAGCAGAGGTAACTGCACTCTGGCCGAGCAAACACCGAGCACACACTCTTGGTCGGAGAGTGAGTGTTTTGGGGAGAAGCACTGGCACTGGCACTGGCACTGGCAGTGCATTGCAGCTCTCCCGTGCGCATGTTGGGGTAAGGGTGGGTGCCACCTTGCCGGCACCAGCCATTGCATCATCATCGTCGTCGTCGTCGTCGTCGTCGTCGTGGTCGTGGTCGTGGTCGAAACGAACATACAGCAAGTCGCCCGCGCCGCATTCTGCTGGTCAACCCGCCAGCAATCTCACACCATCCCACAGGCCCCGTCGCATTCGAATGTGTTACAAGTGGCAGTCAGCGGCATGCACCCTGGTTGAAATCTGCATTTTTTGGGCAAATTCTTTAGTTCCCATAGTTTTCCTGGGCGGCAAATACTAAATACTATATTCTCTCCATATTTTAGGGTGAATACTAGAGCTCTGAATGAAACCACATAGATCACAGCTATACTCATGCCTCTTTAACGCTTTCGATCTTTACGAATCCTGCCTTCAGTCACTCCCGAAAAAACCAGCAAAGTGAGCGAGAAAAAAAAACCGAAATTTTTGCATCTGACACAATCGCGAGTGATTCGATTCAATGAGAAAGCTGTGTCGCTGATTCTAGCACCGAACAAAGCGAATACCGAATCCTCCTCTACTATAAACTATAGTCACACTTTGATTTAAATACTTTCTTCTACCAACAACTGCATGCCACTGTGCCGCAGCGACGTCATTGTCATTGGCAGGTTGAGTGGGCCGTATCGTGCCGGGCCTGGACCCCTTTTTGGGGCCGATTTGGCAAAGACGAGCTGTGAGGCTGAGTGCAAGTCGCGCCCCCGCCGTTTGGCTCCTACCCGGGAGAGCCATAGCCTGTGTGTGTGCCGTGAAAGTGAAACTGCGACGCACGGCAGAGTCGGAGGCGAGGCGGCATCCATCGCCGAAATGCCATATTCGTGGCCGTGGTCGTGGTCGTGGCCATGGCCATGGCCATGACCCGTCTGTGCAGCGAATTTCGGGGCCGACGCACGCACGTACAGAAGTTTCGGGGCAAATTCGGAAACGCGGTCACAGGATGTCGATGACGTTGCCGGCTAAATCCACATTTCGATGCAAGTACATTAAAGGCTGATTTATTGCCCGATTGTATGCGCTTCATGTGGCAGTGGGCAAGGTCCTCATTGATAATGTGAGACGATTTCACGAGTATTTCGTTGTACCGACGGGTCATGGTCATGGCCACCATAGAGGTCTTGTAAAACTTCGAACAGGATAAAGGATCAAGTGAAAAATATTTGTTCCTTATAATTATCATTTTTTCAATTATTTTTTTATTTGTAAACTATGATGCGGGGCATTCTTCAATTCAAATTATAGATTATTCCGAAAATATATAAAACTAGGCGCTAAAAAACAATTGAACTACCCAATAAAGGTTTTCGTATGCAGATAACAAGCATTTCTTAGTCTAATATAAAATGGGCCTGAATAAATAAAAGATTCGTATCTCTGACATGCTTTAAACAATTTGAATGATTTAAACTCATTTTGTTGCGAATTAAGGCCACTAAGGCATATCGGAAAAACATATTAAAGATTGTAGAAAACTTCAACTTTTGGTGGCTATATCTTGAGGTATTTTTATTTTCATGACACGACTCACAAACCCTATAAGAAGTCGTTTAATTATCTATTCAATCCACCGATTTCGTGGGTATATTGAACATTCTAAGCATGAGGAAGTGATCTACACATCCAGCCCTACAATCTAATTTTTGTATCGTGCAAAGTACAAAATGAGTGTCGGAATCAGCTAAAGTAAAACCGAAGCTAAGAAAAATGTTCTTATAAGACGATTCATGATGTACAAATTTACTTTTTTGAGTAGTTTTTACATTTTTACACTAGAGATAATTGTTCAGAGACTATTCAGAGTCCAGCAATACCTTTAAATAATCGCTTTAAACGGAATACCATTCTAGTCTACAAGTTGGAGCACATGGTATGGCGAATCCGTTGAGCTTTTTTATATGCATGTACATAAGTAGTGTTTAAATAATTATTTTTGGGACTCAAACTTTGGACTGAGATTTTACGGTTTGCACTCGCTATTCCGCAAACATTTCCACGGACTTAAAGAACTACGTACTCACGGGACTCTATTGCTCTGCAGCACTCCGTTCACATGTCAGGCCTCTATGGCGACACGTTTCAGCTCTCTTGGGCAGGTTTGAACACGTTTGTTTTTGGGGGGAATCGGTCGGTGCCTGTCTCTGCCACCGGCGAGACCGTATTTTCCGCGTGAAAGTAAAAACGCGATGCTCTGAAGACGGGCGGGCACATAAAACACAACACAGAAACAAAATGAGCGCAGACACAACTGCAGTTTGGATGCCGCACAGGATGGATGGGGGTCGACGGACGGATGCGAACTGTTTCGACTCGATGACGTAGTGTCGCCGCTGACGCTGAAACGTAAACTGATTGAAAGTGCGTTCGTCTGTGTCGTCCAGAGCCGGAGCCGTAGCTGTAGCCGTAGCCGTAGCCGTAGCCGGTCCCCAGTGCCGCAGCCACACACAGCTCTGTTGATGGCCCCGGCGCCTAAAACTGTGCAGAGCTTGCTGGCGGGCAAAGGGTACGGGCGGGGAATAGGGATGGAGCCGAAGCCGATACCGATACCAATGCCGATACAGAGCCGATGCTGCTGTCGACTAACAGTTTGGACAAACGTTTGCCGGCGGCAGACAATTATTTACTCTTTAAATTGCCGACAAAGCGGCATCCCCCTACACACACAGACACACAAGCCCTCCCACACACACACACGACATGTACACCCCCACCCTCATGCACAGACATCCACACCCACACGAATAGAGGGATGCACGCACTATGGCGGCGGACTCCTCGCTTTCGCTTTTGTGTTTGTCCTCTCGCTGGCTTAGTGCTCCCCTTCGGCTTAGGGTTCGGCTCCACTCGGCTCCTGTGGGGTGCTGGGATGCTGGGGTGCTACGATGCTATGATGCTGGGCTCTCTGCCGCTCTTTTTAGCCGGCGCTTGCTCTCTGTTTCTCTCTCTCTCTCCATGATTGCAAGCTCTGCTTTGTGCCGTTAGTTAATTTGAGCGCGCGCCGGCAGGTATGCAACAGTTTTTTCCAATAGGACTTTTACAAGCATTTTTCCATGCATCAAAACTAACGAAAATCATTAAAGTATATAAAAGCGTTGTACCTATTTACGTACATATGTGCACATTCATTCCATGTACATCCTATGCGCCATGTAAAGGGACTAAAAGGGCTTTAATTGAGCTGTTTTTATGTAACTTAGGGGCACATAGCCTCATATACACCTACGTTATTGTCTATGTCTATTAAATTCGCAAATTTATGCATTCTACAAGGAAAACTAACTCCTAAATTCAGCTTTCATCCCTTTGAATATAAACAGAAAAGATTAAGATCAGGCGGTGGGGGACTCAATGCAGACCTGTCATCTGCATATTTGTCCTGGCATTTCCAGAAACACAAAATAATACAATATTTTGAGGTAATTCTGCTACACTTTGAGTTCATTTATTATTACTTATATGTAATGCGATTGCTTTTAATCATTGTAAGAAGAAGGTCTTAAGAAGACACGATTTCTAGCAATAGCTTCTGAGAACTACGTTCTAAAACTTTAGTTGAACAATTAGCTTGAGATTGGATCCTTTTTTGGTGCTCGGTTACGATCGAAGAAGAAACCTTGAAAATACTGAGGTCTGGGGTTGTTTTTAGGTTTTTGAAGTCTTTGATTTATGTTATTTTTTCTATGAGCCTATTCGTCAGGTTGAGTCCTTTAAAAAACATAGTTTTATGCATTCCCAATGTCATGCACGGGGCTACTTCCTTTGTCCTTTAAATCCGTTATAGCGACAAATCCTCTTCAATGGCCGTAGAAATCGATAGTCGTGTGTAAAGAAAAAACAGAACACGAAACGAAACGAAACGAAAACTAGAAACCGGCTCTGGTCTAAGGGCCTTGCACATGTACACGGTACACATACTATGCGGATTTGTGCCAACTACAAAAACGGACCAACTGAAGTGCAACACGATAGTAACTAAATCTAAACAACAACGAACCCCAGCCAGTGGCACTAGCACTAGCTGTGGCAGTGGCAGTGGCAAGGTCACACCGATGCTTGGCACCACCTTCCCCCACAAATGGGGAACCGAAAACTAACCAAAAACTAAAAGTGAATCGAGGCAAACGAATCGGAGTGGGCTCCACCTCTCCTCTCGTCTCCTCCACTTTACTCTCACCATCTACCAGATCCCTGGCTCCTGGGTCCTGGGTCCTGGCTCCCGGTTCCCGGCTCCGGTGCAGGCAGAGGGCTCTGCCGAGCGCCGAAATTCATTCATAAAATTCTAAAACGCGCTAAAATCTAAAATTCTAAACAAACCACTCGGCAGTCGCCACAGTCCGGACGAGTGCTGTCCCCCTTCGGAGAGGGCTGGCTTCTGAGGAGGCATGCCTCCTGCCACATAAGGGGTAGTCCACTCTCTGTGCGGTGTGTGTCTGTGTCACGCGAAAAAAGCACCCACAAATTTCGGTGTTGCCTGGATGCATAGATGGATGTTGATGTGGATGTTGATGTTGATGTGGATGTGGATGGATGAATGGTTGGATGTATGTATGGCTGGATCCATGGGATGTCTGGTATGGTATAGTAGGGGAGTACCCACTAGGGGAATGAACTCTACTTCTGAGTTTAGGTGGGTCCCTGCTCGGGGGAACGCTCTCAGGCGGAGGTAAGAGTCCTGCGAAAGTGTGTTACTTGTGCAGCAGGAAAGTATGCTACATTCCCGGCAACGAAACTGCACTACGCAACTTTTGCACGCAACTGTACCCAGGCCAAAGAGACGGCTGCCATTTTGTTATTATTTTTAGCACACGACAGCAAGCAAATCAAACTAAAAAAGCCTGCATTTTATGTACATATGCATATGTGTGTGTGTACATATGCTGAATAAAATATGTACATATAACATATAAATTTATGTATTAAAAAAACCCTTGCATTACACTCACACACTCCCCGTCTACATATGTACACATGAATGTGCATGCGTGTGTGTGTGTGTGTGTGTGTGTGTCTAGGCAATGCGTATGTAGAAGTTTGTAGTATCCTAAGGCCTATCGAATATCCTCGTACTGCCGTCCACTGGGTTTTTCCGCCTGCACTGTACTCTCTGTGTGTGTGCTTGTAGAACTGCATCCCTGCGTACATGTGTGTGTGTGTGTGTGCGCAACAACACCTAACTCCAGGCAGAAGTGCAACAAACTCTACACAAAAAGGACACCCAACAAAATGCAATCAAATGGCAAAAATTTTGCCAGACTGCAGGCGACAACAACTACAACAAAATGTTGTTGCAACAACTGCAGCAGCATTCGCCCACAGTCTGCCACAGTGCGGTGAAATGCGGCGGCAGGAGGAACAGGTGGTGGTGAGATGGACTGATGGAATGATGATAGAGGGATGTCTGGGAGGAGTCGGCTGGTTGCCGGCCAGACACAGGCCATAAAACAGCAAAAACAAATGCATGTGAAACATTTTAGTTGCATTTTCTATATATGTATATGTATATGTATGTATGTATGTGTGTCCATGTCTGTTGCATGCATCTGTGTGTGCGTGTGCGGGTGTGCGGGTGCGGTTGTGGGTGTGAGTGCATAATCCATGTACATATACAGAAATTGCAAAATACAACCCTTAGCTTCTGACTAACAGCTCAAAAAAACATCCGATCCGCATCTGTGTGGGTGTGTATAAAATAAATTTCATTTAAATTAAAATAAATAAAACTCGTCCCCGACCCTAGTCGAGCCACAAAAACAAGAACTTAGACAAAGCGCAGACACATCCATAATAGACCCCCAGTCCACACACAAAATCCTCTCGATCCAGACAGCAGATGAAGCTCCTGTCTGGACGAGTGGCCAGAAATGCATGTGGCAGTGGCTGTGGCTGTGGCAGAGACAGAAGACGGAAGACGGCAGACAGAAGATGGGGCAAGACAAGGCTTTCATTAGGCCGACTGCAGTCTATGCATTTTAATTGATTGCCAGTCATCTGTTTTGCCTTTATTTCTGCCCAAATTGCATTAATCTCCGGCAATTTTTGGGCAGATGTTCCCCCAATGCCATTAGCCGCAGCGTCCATTGACCTGAGGCTGTTCGAATCGAATCTTCTTTTAAGAAGTGGTTAACGGAGACAAAAAAATAGCTCTGGATTGATACGTATACTTAATCTCTAAATATACTCGATTAGTGACATGAATGAGGAGAATAAACAGCATATATGGAATCTGTAAGCCCATTAAGAAAACTTGCAACTAATTTGAACCTATTTTATAATAAATATTGCTTTACACACAATTCAGAGACCCAACACCAATTTTGTAGTACCAAAGACTATACAATACCAATACAATACAATACAATATACAATACAATATTGTATAGTCTTTGGTAGTACTCTTGGATTTTCTGTTTCCTCCCCTAACCATTTCACAGTCTTTCTATCTTCTACATTAATTTCCTATCCCATTTCCTTTCTCTTACTTTACATTCATGTTTCAGATTTTTGTGTTTTATTCAAATTTTCTTTAGTTCCTTTATAGTTCTTGACCCACACTCTTGTTAATCTTTCTGTCCTGTGATGATTACCTCATTCTTTATTCAATGTGCAACCACATACCCCTCCTCTCTGTATACGCTATTTATCCCTAGTTGGTCGCATCAGGGAGTAAGCCAACAATGTCCGTTTAATCAGTCGCTGATTGACTTCGTTGCGAAACGGTGGGCCCTGACATGCCCCAACCACAGGCTCCACGGAGCCAAAAGCCAAAGGCCCGACTGGGGTCCGTGGTTGGGTGGGTGGCTGGGTGGTTGGGTACTAGTGTAGTCGAAGGAGACGAAGACGGAGGCAGGCATTAACCAAACGGCGGCTAAATGGAATACGTCCTCGACCTAGTTCAATGTCAATGTCATTGTGCCACATTATCGCTGGCGACGTCGTCCTTTGGCTGGCTTGGCCTTGGCTGGAGGGAAACGAGCGCACGAGTCGAGGCCACGGCCACGAACATGGCCAAAGTGGCACACGGCAGGCAGCACATCCTCCACGCTCCATCCTCCATCCCCCGCCCTGTGGCAAAAACGAGACACAACAGAAACAGCCACGATGCTGCAACGATGCACGGCCCCTGAGTAGGAGAAGGAGTTGGAGTCGGAGTCGGAGCAGGAGCAGGAGAAGCAGCAGCAAACACCAGCAGAACCAGAAACACCAGCAGGAACAGGAACAGGAACAGCAACAGGAACAGCAACAAGAGCAGGAGCAGGCGGTGGCGACAATATCCTTGCACTTGTGCGGGCCGCGAGGCCGACACAGGGGCTGGATCTCTGTGACTGCGGACTGGGGCAGGGGTCGTTGTGGCACTCACAGTCACACCGCTAAGCCTGGCAACCAATCCGTCGCCAGCAAAGGCAACAGCCCTGCCCCATCGCTGTTCACTGCTGCAGTTGCTGGGTGCAAGGATGCCATGTGGAAGGCCTTGCCTCTCGCCTCAACCCACCACACCCTACACCCCACACCCTACTCCATCTCACCATCTCTCTGCCGCGTGGGTTGCACTCGAAGCTGCAAGTAGAGACACCCTCTCCATTATCCAACTCCGATTCCGACTCCGGCTCCAACCCCAAGCTTTGACATCTGCTCTCTATCGTATTACGACCCCCCTTTCCATCTCTTTCTCTGCAAAAGCTCCTGTCCTGTTAGCTTTTTCAGAGAGCTGCCAGATGGATTTAAAAAACAGCAGACTGTAAACTTCGCTGTCAGAGGAAAAGCCTGCAGTAAGAGCGATAGAAATATATTTGGATATTGATAGTTAAGTAGATTGAAAACATGTTTCCGGATTTCCGCTACATAAGGATGTCGTTGGTCGTTTGCTGTCCATTTATCCCCTGTTGCTCTCGGATCCCTCCTTGGGTGAGCGCCTGCGATGGATCTTCTTCTTGCCGCGCTTGATCTTCCTCTTGAAGTGCCTCTTTGTCTTCTTGGGCTTGGAAGATCCTGCCTCCGTAGTGGTGTCAGACGTGGCAGCTGTGGTCGTGGTCGTGTCTGAGTACGCTGCTGTGGTGGTGGTCGTGTCTGAGGACGCGACTGTGGTTGTAGTCACTGCTGTTGCAGAGGTAGTTGTGGCAGTGGCAGTCACCGCACTGGTCTGGCTCACCAGGAAGCACCCGATGGTCGCCAGAAGCAAGAGAACGCAATGATACTTCATGGTTTCCGTTGCTGCTGCTTATCAGAAAGTGATACTTCCATAAGGGATCGACCGCCTTTTTATTGGAATCTCAGAGCGAGGTTTTAGATTAAAAAGTGCGTTAAAAATATTGGCAACAATCTTAAATGTTTAACCAATTGCCTTGCAGGCGGCTATTACTTGTTTGCCTGTCCCACTTTTTAGTGTTTTTGGAGTTGTGGATCAGATTCTACCACCCTAGAGGTTCTCACGTTGCGTGCTACGGACAGGCCTAGATCCGGCTGGTGTTTGAACTGTCAACATTGTCTAGGCACACGCACTGTCGCGGTATAAATAGCTTAGCTCCAGGCATAAGAAAACATAGAAGTTATACCTATATATGCTCCGCACAATGTATGTATGCATGGTTATTTATTTGCTAAATGAATACAAATATTCAGGGAGTTCCCAGTTGCCAAGATCGGCACACGTTTATGTAGACAGCGAGTCATGGGGAGAAGCAAACAATACCACTTTGGGATCGGGTTTGTTTTTACAACGGCCACAGTACTGAACACACCTCCACAAAATACATGATGTTTGTCCACAGATAGAAACAAAAGCTTCAGATTTAGTCTATGAACTTCTTGCAGGATCGATTCAAGGGAAAACGAAGCACCTAGGCGCACTGCTTGATCAGATGCTTGTGAAGGGGAGCGACGCACTGCTTGATCAGTAGGCTGGTAAGGGAAATCAAAAACAAACCGTCAGGAATCAACGTCGCACTGCTTGAGACAATGACGTACTGCTTCCAAACCTTTTTTCGCAGCGAACTGCTTGCAGTGTAGTCGATTGTATTACCATTTTTGCCAAAGCGAATAAATCTAAACGATGGAGGAAGTAAGTGCCAGTGAAGAGAAATTCCCACCTGGCTCTTTTTCTCCAAAGAGAGAATTTTTATAGCAGAAAAGTATTACAGCAAGTCTTTCTTTGGGCTTCTATACATATATCATACTGCTTATACATATACTGGCAAAGTATACCCCAATGGATACACAATAAAAAGAAATATTAATATCTAGCGGTTAGGAAGGAATGTGCGCTTCAACGGGTATGCTATAATGGTTTGGCATGGAACGGAGAACCGGCTTAGAACCGTTTACCTAATTCCGAATGATGGCATCTGATGTCATTCGTCAAAGAAAACAAACAACAACTGCCCCAAAAGGCCAGAGCATCGCGTTAAGGTACACACGACATGGATCTCCATGAATGAGGTCATTGGGTCACGATGCAAAGAACTCCTTAGCTCTTAACATGTCTGTGTGTACTCGTATAATCCTAAACGAACAGTCAACAAAACACGTCTCCGCACTTGGGTCGCGTGCTTCGTACGGTTCCCAGACCTGTTCAATACCTGCGTCTCTTAACTGTACAAATAAAGTGTTTTTGCACCTGGTAGACGTATTGTTGGAGGGCGTATTGTGTGCGTGCATATGTATGTTACATCTGTAACACCGATCCACTGAAAATGATTATACCCGGCGGGTACATATATATATACTCCTTACGAGTATTTATATCACTTTTCCTCCCACTACGAAACGCACCTATTCAACGAATTCTACTTGTAAATCCGTTTAGAGGGTATCGCTTGGTCGGTAAGTCTGACAAAACAATATTTTTTTTCTTTTGCAGTTCCTGTTCGGCGACATTCGCCGCACAGAGGCGCAGAGCGCGCGTCAAGGGAGAGAGAGCAGCGGAGAGAGCGATTGCGATTGCGAGAGCGAGAGCGGGATCTATTGGCATGCATTTGTTGGCTGGCAAAACAAGAAATGGGCTAAGAATCACCGCAGACACAGCAGCCGAACGGGGACCGAACCGCATTCCAGCGCCTGGCTGCGCAGTCGAAGAGCAAAAGAGTGGAGCCCCAGCTGCGGTCGTGGGGCCTTTTCATTGTCAGTCCGCGTCGAGATCTTCAGCGGGCAGGTTGGAAATTTTAGCGAGAGAGCAGAAGACAGCAGAGCAGAAGACAAAGCATCTTTTGACGCGCGTGTGTGTGAATGTGTGTGCGAGTGGGAATATTTTATAGTGAACTTTCATCAGCTGCAGCCCCGCGGGTCGCCCTCTGCCCAAAAACGAATATGTAAATGAGAGAAAAGGGACCAGACAAAAACAACAACAAGTGGCCGAAGAAAGTGCGAAAGCGGCTGCCAAACCGGTTTTCGCTGGCAAACGTGGCAATGCCTCAGCAGCAGAGGAAGATATGAACAAACAAAACACAATTAACGTGGATTATCTCACGTGTGGTAATCGGCTGCGATAATTGTACGTGTAAAAAGTGAAAGTGAAATACAGACAGACAGACAGACAGACAGTACGTACGCAAAGCAGCGAGGAGCAGTCCGCGGTTCGTTCTCTCACGCCACGGAATAGTAGGAATACCAGCCATGTACAACAACAACAATGATGGCGGTGGCGGTGGCAGCGCCAACGGCAACACCATGCAGCAGCGCCGCAAGACAACGACACGCTCCAGATCAAAGCAGCAGCAGCAGCAACAATGCACCAGCGAAAACGTAATCGAAAAAAATCAAACGAACGGCGCACAAAACGAAAGACTTCACTTTCGCGGAAGCAGCAAAGACTCGGCGCTGTCAACGCCGCTGCTGCCGCGCAGCCGTTCAACAACCTCAGCCATCAATTCACCTTCCCCACTGTGCTGTAACGGTGGTTTGTCCATACTCAACTGCTGCCGCGATGTCAACTGCCACCTGAATGCACCTTTGCGCGGCAGCGTGGAGTCGTCACGCAGTCGGCGTTCCGAGAGCCGGCAATCGTCGCTAACAGCGACGCCGACGACAACGCCAAAGCAAGCTTCACCTTCGCCTACGATCTCCGAACGTTCACGATCTTGTTCTGGATCCCGCTCCCGTTCGTGCTCTTGCGACGGCCGCCTTGTAGATTGCCATAAACACAGCGCTGCGGCAGCAGCTGCGTCTACAGCCGCACCGCAGTTTACCGTTAACCTGAGCATCGATCTCTTCAGTTGGACTCTCTTTCTGCTGGCATTCTGCACGCGCTTTTATAAGCTAGCAACGCCACCCCACATTGTGTGAGTATGAAAAAGAGAGAGAGGCACATACATATGTGTGTGCGACTCTTCTAAGCTCTCTCTCTCTCTCTCTCATTTATCCCACAGCTTCGATGAACTGCACTACGGAAAGTACATCGCCCACTACATGCGCAACATTTTCTTCTTCGATCAGCACCCGCCCCTCGGGAAACAGCTGATCGCTGGCCTCGTCAGCCTAGCCGGATACGATGGCAACTACACATTCTCTAGGATCGGGGCCGCGTACGCGCCGGACGTGCCCATCTTCTGGTTCCGCTTTATACCCGCGCTGTGCGGCAGCCTCCTGGCCCCCGCCGTCTACAGGCTACTGCTGGAGGCCAGGCTTCATCGCTGGGCAGCAGCACTGGGCGGCCTTCTCGTCGTCCTGGACAACTCTTTGCTGACCCAGTCGCGGTTCGTGCTCATGGAATCGATGCTGCTGCTGGCCAGCACGCTCGGGATCGCCTGTCTGCTCCGCTTCCAGCGCTGTCGCTTGGGCAGCCTCCAGTGGCTGTGCAATGGATCTGCGGCAGGCGTGCTCCTGGCTTGTGCGGGCGCCGTCAAGTATATCGGCTTCCTGGCCCTGGCTCTGGCCGGGTATCTGCTCTGTCGCCACTTGTGGCAACTCCTGTACGACGCGAGCCTAACGAGTGAGTAATCCTCCCCAGACTCTGGCTGATTTCGATTATAATGAATAGATTTCCTTCCCGACAGATCGCCAGCTCTGGATGCACGCCCTGAGTCGGCTTCTGCTCTTCGTGGGCATTCCCATAGCCGTGTATATAGGGGTATTCTATGTCCACTTCCGGACGCTGCACCGGGCAGGCCCTCATGATAGCATTATGACCAGTGCCTTTCAGGCGTCGCTGGAGGGCGGCCTGGCCTCGATCACCAGTGGCCAGCCGCTGGCTGTGGTCCACGGCTCGCAGATAACGCTGCGACACACCCACGGACGCACTTGCTGGCTGCACTCCCACGCTGCAGTCTACCCGGTGCGGTACAAGGACAAGAGAGGCTCCTCCCACCAGCAGCAGGTCACATGCTACTCATTCAAAGACGTGAACAACTGGTGGATCGTGAAGCGGCCGGAGCGGGACGACCTGGTGGTGGGGGAACAGCCAGACGTCATACAGCACGGCGACGTCATCCAACTGGTGCACGGAATCACCAGTCGGGCGTTAAACTCGCACGACGTCGCTGCTCCGATGACGCCCCAGTGCCAGGAGGTCAGCTGCTACATTGACTACGAAATCAAGATGGCCGGGGAGCTGCTGTGGCGCGTGGAGATTCTCAATCGGAACTCTGAGGGCGACAGCTGGCATGCCATCAAATCGGAGATACGTCTCGTCCACGAGTCGACGGGCGCTGCCCTGAAGTTCAGCGGACGGCAGCTGCCGGACTGGGGCTTCAACCAGCACGAGGTAGTGGCCGATCGGGATCAGGTGCACGAAGACGCCATTTGGAATGTTGAGGAGCATCGCTACACCAAGAGTAAGCAATTGATTGCCTAAATCATTGGTTGAATATCCTCTGACCCACATTTCGTGTTCCTTCAACAGCTCAGGATCAGCGGGAACGAGAGCGTCAGTTGCTCTCCGCCGAGATGATACCCACGAAGCGGACAAAGCTCTCGTTCTGGGCCAAACTCCTGGAGCTGCAGACGAAGATGTTCTGGCACGGCAAGCACCTGCAGGCGCACATGTACAGCTCGCTGCCGCACGAGTGGCCGCTGATGGACAAGGGCATTGCCTACTGGCTGGACTCGCAGTCCAGTGCCCAGATTTATCTCCTGGGCAACGTACTCATTTGGTACACGGCCAGCGCCGGGATACTGGTATACGCCGCCCTTCTGGCCTTCTATGCGGTGCGTAGGAGACGGCTCTGCTTCGACGTCTCCCAGCACGAGTGGCAGCGCTTCCTCATGGCTGGCGACACCTTCTTCGTGGGCTATATGATGCACTATCTGCCGTACTACTTTGTGGACCGCACTCTCTTTCTGCACAACTATCTGCCCGCATTTGTCTTCAAGCTGCTGTTGCTGTGCTTTGTCGTGGAGCATCTGGACTACCTTTTGCGCCGACACTGCTCTGGCCGAGGAGTGCACCTGGTGCGCGTCTATCGAGTGGCGCTGCTCCTCTGGCTGCTCGCCGTGGGAAGTGTGTTTGTGAAATTCTTGCCGCTCAGCTACGGAGCAAGAAAGATGACCATAGAGGAGGTCAGACGCCTGCGCTGGAAGGACACCTGGGACTTTATATTGCAAAAGAACTATGCGCTGAACTGAAACAGTACCTTTGGCCAGACTGCAGGTGCAATAGACCCCCCTCCAAATGTAACATAGAGACTTAAGATTCTGAGCTAAAACGTAGCTAAAGTTTATCTAGTAATAAGCTATCGTCCATAGATGCCACGCCTTCCGTATGTGCAGCCGATTAAATGCATTATTTATTTATTTAAACCAGAAATCACAGCAATCCAAGTTCGGGCAATCGTCTCGGACTGAAAATTCAGTTTTTGTTTATTCAGAAATTCACAGTTTCACAGGGAATACACTAGGAAACACACCAGAACATGGCAAACATTGGACACTTTATAGATAGGAATGCCGACATTCGTGCAGCAGGGTTGTCCTCGTTGAGGACCACTGAAGCCAACAGGGAGAGCATCAAGGATTGTTTTGTCTTCAGCCATATGGAGGAAAAGGCCGAGCATATGTTACGCGCCGAGTGCAAGCATTTGAAGATCCATTCAAAAAGCAGACGCACCCCGATTGTACCGTGTAATACCGTGGGAGATCTCCTCAGTACGGAATTGCAAAAGACACGTTTCATGGCATTCAAGGAGAAGTTCTCCGAGGACATGTACTTCAAGAAACCAAAGTTGGGGGACATCACGCCGGCCCACTCGAAGCCGGACAGTGTGACCAACGAAAGTCGGACCTTTGGACGGCCATCCACCTTTCCGGAGCCCCTATACGATATCATATTGCCACCGAAGCCAGCCGAGCAGGTCAATCGAGAGTTTGGTGAATTTCACCAGAAGCGGATCATCAGCCACAATCACTATTTCCCCTCGGAGCAGATCAATCGCAAGTTGGTATTTATATAAAGATGAAAATACTCTAAACTGATCTGCATACCCTTTGATTTTTTTCAGATATGAAAAGCCCTTTGACCGCCACAACACGTTTGGGCAACAGACCAAATTCAATGGCATCGGATTGATGGTGAAACGTTGCTTGAAGCAGAACGGCGCGGACGATCCACATATGGTCATCGTCCGCAAGCCACAAATGGACTTTATAGATCGCACCTACGGCCCATTGGGATTGAAGTACAAAAAGTGAGTGTAAATAGATCTCACCCCTCCAGCAAATCCTACATGAAAAACCACTCTGTAGATATCCATATGATGTGCCGAATATGATGCACGGACTGCGGCGACTGACGCCCAAGTGTGATGTCAAAATGCTGCTCGAAAACACCACACCGAGTACGAGCACTGAAAAGTTGGTGAACGCCTTCACTCACCTGAACATTTTGCGCCAGGACCTGCAGAAGCGCATCGACTTCAAAATGTTCGACCTGATCTCACTGCTGGAGAAGAGCGACAAGGAGAGCACGGGATATCTGCCGCTGGATCGAATCATCGAGATCATGCACAAGCTTCACATTCGCGTGGACGCCCGGAAGATTCGCATCGCATTGAAGCACTACCGAATGCTCCTCGACGAGGGCTGTGCCACGGAGCGCATCAGCTACCAGGAGTTTTGCCGCCTGATCTCCATTCAGGTGCCATTGCCATCGACGGGAAACATTTCGGTGATGCCCGAAAATAACTACAACAAGGATACCACCTATCGCCTGCTCTGCGCCGATCTCAAGAAGACGCCCGACAAGGGTCGCGTCGAACGAAAGCACCAGTTGACGCCCGAGCAGCAGGACGCACAAAACACTCATGTCGAGGAGCTAATAAATCCCGATCAGGCTATGCTGTCGGGTCTCGGTCCCAGCGATTTTATGCGCCTACGATCCAAAGAACAGTTGCAGACTATATTCAAGGAGGTCGTATCCAAAGATGAGTTCGAACGCATCTGTGCCCAACTGATGGCCAACCATGAGGACCAGAAAGATATGTTTTCGATCCTGCAGTTCAAGGCCCTGATGGGGAACCCCATTCTGCACGTAAAGGGTACCACATAGATACCATAGATACCACATTTACAACACGAGATTAATGAATAAATTGAATGAAAAAATTATACTTTGTATCTGTTAGATAATTGTCAGGGATGGGCACGGCACTAATGAGTGTGTCCCAAACATTGAAGACAATTGTTCTGAAAAATCGCCTCGAATAGAAAAACGAGAACTACGACAACAATCGGCTCTGTAGTGGTTGCCTTTACTCCGCTTAGATTTCACCGCAAGCGTTGCGAAATACTCCCCGTGATTTCGCAGTTTCTTCCTCGGCGCATCGTTTGGCTATGATATTGAGATACTCGTAGTTTTGTCGGATGGTGAGTTGGGAAATGTATACGCTTGAATTCTCCTCCTCTATGGCAGCGATTACTAGCTACTGGCGCCGGAATCAGCCGGGGAACCGACCGCTGAAGAATCCAGCCTGTTGTGCATGAGATCCGGCTCTAGAACCATGCTGACCATGGTTTCGATATAGCTCTTGAAATCGTAGAACACGTTATGGCTGAAGGGTTCTCTGAGAAGGGGCCTGATCTTCGAGACAACGCGTTCGTCTATCGACATGTTGTTGAGTGTAGATCCCTCATGATCAAAAGGCTCTTTCAAATCGTCATCGCTATCACACAGTCCTCCTTGATGGTCTCCACTAGATATTTACTATCAGAGTGCCGGTGTCGTAGCTCTCCAGCTTCTCCGTCTCGTAGACATAGTCCGGAATGGCGGCGTAATATCGAACCTGCCACCAATGCATATCAGTATCTCTTTCCTTTCCATTGCTCATCACTCACCACGAATTCGACCAATGCATTGCGGTAACTTTTCTAACTTTTTGAATTTTTTCAGACTGTTTCTTTTTTTGTATGTGTGTGATCTGGTCTACGGCAAAGTTATGTTTTTATGGGGAATCCTAGGACATGGATGGGAAAATGAAATTATTTTCGATTCAGAAAACTAAAACTAAACTTTCCCAGACGGAACCGATCAGATCGGATTGCTATATCATATAGCTGACATACATACTCGTATGAGCAAGAGTATCAAAGACTTATGCGCCTAACGCAAGAAAATTAACAAAATTAACTAGAAACGATGAAGTTTCATGAAGCAACTGGGTCGGAGACTCTCGTGAAGAAGCCTAAGGCAAGGACAAGCTGCTGAAAGTTCGACATGTACTGCATGATATTCTGCAAAGAGTTCCATAGACGGAATACCGACTATGGATCAAATAAGTGTCGCACCTTGTCAGAGGAGGAACAAGCTTAATTCCGAGTTTGTGATTGCCTAAGCAAACACTTGAAAATCAGTCTCCCGACAATGGAGTCCTCTGTTATATACGTTTTGGCAATCATTTACATCATCTGTCTGAATGCAAAGTTGGTATTCTCTTTGCACAATCCCTTGATGCGCACATGTAAGCATTGTCTGAAGATCGTAGATATAGCGAACCTTTATCCTCTTTTATGTTTAAGCTTGCCTATTAGGGGAGGAGCTTGTCTGCCACGCCCGATTCATCATCTGCTGGCAGTACAAGTGCAAGTGCATTGATAAACACGATTATCTCGGGCCCGGGCTGGGGTGCATCTACCATATTTTTCATTAAACAAAATCCTGAAGAGTCCATGGCCCGAAGAATGTAGTGAGCTCCAAGCAGCAAATGCAAGGGCTGGAAGCACTTCTTGCAGTGGCATGCATCTTTCGTACCGTCCAGAAATTACGGGTGAAATAAACCATTAATAAACAAGCGGCAACTTTTTACATGCTAAACACAAACTATTTTATTTACACTCGGAGACGGCAGCGGGAGCCCTGCCGACAGTTATTTGGCATTGTCCATAAAGTCCTTGGCCTCGTTGATCTTCGCCGCTAGATAGGGGGAGCCACCCCGATCCGGATGATTCAGCAGCATGATCTTCTTGTGTGCATCCTTAACCTGCAAGGGAATTGCGGAGGGGTGAGATATTGCTACAAAGGATGCAGCACGTGCATTACCTTTAGCTTGGAGGCACTCGGATTGACGCCCAGAATGAGGGCCGCTTCACGCTTGTTCATCTTGGGATCAAAGCCGCCCTTGTAGTACTTCGAAGCAGCCATGCTCTCGGCATCGAACTTGGGTAGGTTCTTCAGGGCCTCGTTGAAAGCGGTGGTCATCTGGGGCATGCGCCGCAGCATATGCTTACCCGCAAAGCCCACGGCTGCCACTCCGAGTCCCGCCAGAATAATGGAGCTCGCCTTTACAGCAGATTTGTGGGAATCCATGGTGACAATTTGATATAAGACAAGTTATATATGTAAAACTTTTGTTTATTTGAGAATGAAGTCATTTTTACCATTTTTATGTAATTTTAACAGCTGTGACTTTAGTGTGACAGCACGCGTCGAGGGTAGGTAATCGATTGCAAAAGTGTTATCGTTCACAATTTACATGTCCTGCCTGCGATTTTGCAAAGGGAATCTTTGGAAAACATATATGAATACATTGCAAACATCCATAAATTGACAATGGGGATTTATGAACCAATAATTTGAAAATGGCGCTCTGTGTTCGCTAAAATAATACTGAAAGAATCGACTACTTTTAGAAATTTGTATTATAGTATTTCACAGCCAGGGCTGAAGCACCGCTTCAGCTCAGCCGTTGCGGAACAGGTGTGCAGCCCGAACACACAATCAAAGCAATTCAATGAGCATACCCTAGGAAGGGATATTATAAAATTGAGAAAATGTTTGCCATCTCAGACTCCAATGAATGCAGAAACTAGTCAGTACTGTTTTAAAGCTATTTCAACGAAATTTTGCAGTTTGTGGTCTGCTCGGGATCAGGCTATATATTCAGAAAAACAGAATAACGATACTAATTAGGGGAAATAGGGTATAAATATGCCCATACCACCGGTTGTCTCTTACGTTTTATTTCATGGTTTGACCTTATTTGCGTAAACCTTATTTTAGACACAACTCCATAAAGGGACTACTTAAATTGTGCATATCTTGTAGCAAATTCATTCATCAATCGGATAAAATTATGTGTTCAGGGCTGAGCATATCAGCTAACTAGTATAATATTATACCGAACATGAAAATCGAGGAATATGTCTTCTGTTCATGGAGAGAGAACGTTTAACCCATTGTCGACCAGTGGGTATTTAAATATACCCCGCGAACGGTATATAACATGAAGAATTTTGGAACAGTGAAACATATCGTGGTCGTTTGTTTTTTTGTAAGTAAGGGTGGACTTACAAGAATTTACATACAGTAATATTTTCAGCGGCTTAGCTCAAGTTGTTCACCTGTTTAAACAGAGGGGGTTGAGTGGGCTAAGCTCGTTTTTTCATCGGTATATTTACGGTATATTTCTGAGGGACTGACGGTATATTTGATCGATAAGTCCACTGGTGCACAAACAAGACGAAGAAGAAGCGAGAAAATTTCTGATGTGCAAAAAGTTTCAAAACGGAATCCGTATATTGATTTACAAAAGAAAAAAGTGTCCATTGGTCCGATCGGGCGATATATCTGGTGGCGGTGGTGTGTCCGGTGTGCGTGTGTGTGTGTGAATGCGTGCGTCCAGCTGGGAAAACTACATAATTTGTGGCAAAGTCGGGAGCAGCAGCAGCAGCCGTCAAGCTGGAGCGAATTCCAGAATATCTGCGCGACACGGTCGACTGGTTGATGGGGTGAGTTAGTAGTAATAGCCACATTTGATAACACCTGACTCCCTGACATCTGCTCCCGGATCGCTGCAGCAGTGGCGGCCAGTGGGTGAGATGCATCTACAGACGGTAAAAACGGCCACAAGGTGGTACGGTTGTACGGTTACGACGACGTCGTCGCTGCCACTCAGTGGGGCCGTCTCTTGTGTCCTCTGCATTGCTCGCATCGCGTCGCCCCACCAGTTTGGCCCCTCGCCAATTGGCCTCGTTTCGCGTCTCTGTCGTCACAAGAAATTTCTTTTTTCGTCGCTGCCTTTTGTGGCTGCCTTCCGTTGGCTGCCCCTGCAAGACGGCTCTCCTACTCCTGTAGGAGCTGCACTGGTGTTTGTTCCAAAAAATCAATGGGACAGCATTATCGATTTCTCAAATGTGGCTGTGTGACCGAGTAATGTAATCGATGTACACCGTGTGTCCATGCTGTCAATGTGTGTGTGATCAGTCTGCTCCTCTGTCTGCATCCAGACATCCACACAACCACAAGCACACATCCGCGTCCGCGTCCGAGTCCCAGGCGCAAGGCCATCGCTGCGCTTTGATTGCGTTTATTTGTGGTTCGTCTTCATCTTCTGCTTCGCTCAGCATACCCTCTAAATCATGGAGAAACTCGGGTATATACATGTGTTCATCAACAGGCAGAAGAACGACACGCATCTGTCCATCTCTATAAGCAGCACATACAGAATTCTATAGGCGTATCATCTGAAAGGACATTGGAAAAATTAATATATAGAGGGTATTTGGTAGTCGACCCACTCTAGTTTGGTCTTCTTACTTGTTGTTTATGCTTCTACGCAGACAAAACGAAAACGAAATCGTTGAGGAGAGGAGAGGCGAGAAGAGGAGGACGTTGCAGGCGGAGGCTATAGATGATAAGGGCCAGGTTTAATGAACTAGCTAATTTCATTGCCATACTCGGAAACGGTTCACGTAGGCGTGAGTCCCATAAACATATATATGGGAAATCGGTGGATATATAAAATCAGGTACCTGTGGTACGGTTCGTTGAAATATTCCCCCTTGAAGAGCCACCTAACTCCCATATATGACAAACCAGATCTACCCAAAGTCATTTGGGGGCATTTCTATGCCTTGCGGTAATTTTATTCTCATTCAAAGATCTACAACACGCGGAGGAACAGGAATGGATGAAAGAACACAATTGCAAACAAAAAAAAGGAGACTACTCTACGAAAGGGTTGCCATGGGAACCATAAGATGTTCCTACCTGCCTGGATATAAAGAGGGAATTAGCTCTTCAGAGTCCCAGCCCACTTTTGGTGGAAATCAGCCTGCTTTGGGTAAATCGGGTACGATAGGTACCGACGATTATTCAACGAAAACTCAAGAGCTGCTTTTGGGTTGGACGGCGAATCCAGTCCGCAGAACAAGGGAGATGTCTGCCCTGCCAAATGTTTAATTAAATGGCATGCAATGCAGATTTTAAGTAGTTTTCCATCAGATTGTGTCAGATAAGATGTGGAATGATATGGAATAACACGGATACACTCCAATCAGGCCCGATTTGAACATTTTGTAAGCCAGAAATGAGTGCTAAAACATCCAATTAGGCACAGTTTAGTGATTAGGCACACAAAGTGAGCCGTCGGTGTCGGAATATGGCGGAAATCGAGTTGATTGGAAGCCATTCCGCGGCTCTCCTGTTCCGCCGGACAAATTAAGTTCACACAACTCGCTGACAACTTGATAACGTGGGCTATCCCGATGGCGATGTCGTTAGTCACATCTATATACACGAGTCCACGAGTACACACACACCCACAAACATGGGGGTAAACCTTTTGTGGATGCTGTCACACAAATTGGCAAAGGAAACGGCAGGGGGAAATAATGTAAACGATGTGAGAGAGCAACAAAGAACAAACAAATTGTGTCACATGTCACACCCCATAACCAAAAAAAAAAAACAAAAAAAAAGTAAAGGAAAAAGAGGGGAAAAGCACACATCCGCAAAGATGGGAGAAATATCTACACGCTGCAGGATGGATGTGGAGGAGATACATATATCCGGAACGGGTTTGAGTGGACGTCATCGCCCTCCAATGGAGCAGCAGGGTTTTTCATTAGAGCCCAGGAAAAACAATTAAAAATGTGGCCAAGAGAGAGGGAGATAGACAAAGAAACAGAGAGAAAATACATCGATTTCTGTTGCCTTAGCCACAGCGAGGAGAGCTCTTGATTTTACTGGGGAAAGATATGTACATATGGACGTACATATAGTCCTCATTCTTCATTCCCTATGGACCATGTTTGGAATGAATTTCCTCAATTCGAATATTCTGGAACATAAAATATTGAAGCTGTTTTCCCAAAGGATCCTGGCTCCACAGAAATTAGTTTACTTTTCTTAAGTAAATCTTGGACCTCTTTTGAATAAAGATATACTGGAGATGCTCCAGATGTGTCGATATATAGTTATTTGTGTCGATGCAGCCACGATTAAGCAATGGTTCCGCAGGGATATCAAAAAAGAAGACGATCCCAGGTACATCATTAGCTACCCTCGCCGTTTTGCCTGCCTGTCTGCCTGCCTGATGGCATGTGCAGCGGCGGACAGCCTTGAGGCGCACTTAGCAGAACTCTAATTGAATTAGAGGCGGCAACGGGTGCAAGTGCAGTGCGGAAGAGGCAGAAGGGGCATAAATACAATAATGCGAGTGGTATGAGGCCCGGCGGAAGAGGCAGCAAAAGAAACAAAGTGACAGTTGGCCATTTTTTGTTGTGCTTCATTGATTGGCAGACCCGGACAGGGCCTGGGCCTGCTGCTGGGGGGCCCTGCTGCCCCCGAGTCCAAGTCGAGTCGCTGGCTAGAACCCGCCGGGAGGAGGCGCAAATCACTAGACCAAATCAATTTTGCAGAGCAAAGTCCATCCCCGGGCCGGGGATTGTGTATATTTAGGTTGTGCAAAGGCTTCCCGCTCTGGCGTGCCCTCGAGCTGGGTGCCACATGCCCCGGCCGTGCACTCAGTTGCAGTCGAGCCCTGAGCGCGGCTAGTTCCTAGCTCCCAGTTCCCAGCTCCCAGCTTCCAGTTCCCTCGGTCATGAACTGGGCCATCTCGAACCTGACGGGCGGCAACCGCGTCAGTCGGGCCATTCTCGTGCGCTACTCCTCAGTGCCGCTGGCGGATGCTGGCGATGGCTCCTCCACGGGACCGCAGACTCCCACGGCCTCCACTCCGCGAGCGTCCGCGTCGCACACCTCGCTGTCCTCCACATTTGCCGCCACATTCCTGCACTCATCGTCGCGACATGTGCCCGGACGCGCCGTGCCGCGACAGAGCGCCAACGGCAACGGCGGCAAGTCGAATTCCAATGCTCCACCGGGCGGCGGAGCCGCAGCTGGAGGCGGCGGTGGCGGTGGCGCTGGCCCTGCCACACAGCTGTCGCTGCCAATGGACGTCGAGGAGACGGTCACCTGTTTCTGTCGGTAAGATCAGACGAAGAGGCATGGCGATACGGATATTTATTGAATATTTCTGTTCGCGGGCAAAGGAATGGGAACGGGAAAAGTTTGATGAGCTACGTGCTTCCCCAACTAAAAGGGCGGAAGGAATATGCCTCTG